TCGTATGTATATATAGTTTGTTAGCGTAGGTTGCAAAATGTTTGAATATGTTTTTAAAATTGAAATGCATGAGAGCTGCATTTAAACTTTCTCCCTATGTGTTCGATACATATAAAATCATATTATTTATAATTCTGTTAATTAAAACATTAGTTGCTACTTTTTGTTTTAAAACTATGAGTTTATTCCGCAGTTTATTTATTGTGTAAATTCATAATTGTTTATGAAAACCCGTCGTCATTTATTTTACACTGATTTATTTAGCATTGAAATTTGTGTACATATGTATTTTGCACATCCTATACGTGTACACACGGTTATTGAGTTAGTCAAATAAGTGATACATGTAATTGTACGGAAATTGATATTTGCAACTGATCTCTGAGGATTATATAATTTCGTGGAATGTGTATATTTATGTACATATATGTGCATCATTTGCTCCCAAAAGGCAATGGCTCCCCGAGGAATATATAAAATGAAAAGTATGCTTTTTATAAAATGCACTTTGACACGTAATGAATACGTGTACGCATATATGTGCTGTATCGTATAGCTTTTTCGCCACCACATAGTATAAATAAATGACTAAAATCCTTTCCCCTGCGTAATCCGTATCAGATTGTATATCGTAACATGGGAGAGCACATGTCGGTTTGAAATATTGATCTGACTGAATTGCAGCGTTTTCTTTATCGCAGTTATATATACATTAAAAGAACACGATTTTTTTCTAACACGAAATATTAGAAGTAATATCATATGCGTGTATACTCTTTCAGCTTGCTGGTCTCTTATGTTTTTTTTCACTTGCGATTTAAAATATCCAGTGACAAAAGTAAAATGATTCAATCTGAAAGAATGACGCATATGTCGAGACGTGTAAAATTTTTTCCATTAATGTACGAATAACTAAATTGTAGGAATATTTCTATTATGATCAAGTGCAGGAAACGTTTATTTTATAATTTTTATTTTTATTTTTGTTTGCTTTGCTACATTATAATATATACCAGGCAAAATTATTTTATTGCGTACAATAACGATGTTCTAATTGCATGTGCTTTTATGCTCCATGTGAATTATATGAATATATAAAAGGCACATACTGAAAAATGAAACAATTCTATGCAAAATAGTGACAGACTTTTTATATATCATCGCGCGCGCGGAAAGCAAAGCGAGAAATATTTCTCTATATTTGTTTTTCTGTCGTATATTTATTATATACGAACATTACAATATTAATTTTAAATATCCTGATTCTTATATAATTATATATTAACTATAGTATAAAGTATTCATATATTTATAATTTAAATTATAGCAATTTAAAGAGTTGAATGTTATTTAATGCATATATGTATATTAGAATCTGAAAGTTTAACTATACATTTAATCTTTATTTATATTTATTTAAGTACGACGTTTGAGATATGAATAATTTTAAATTACAAAGTTTTTAAAAATTAAAAATAATAAATTTTAATATAATAGTTGAACTATTTTAATATAATTGCCAGTTGACTGCACACAAGCACCGTATGTAAAATTAATTATATCAAAATCAGGATATCTAACAATTCTGCATTTAACGCTTTAATTAAACAACTTTTCGCAACTCTTTGAAGAACACACGCATTTAAAAGATTTACAATATCCAGTTAGAAAAATAAAAATTTTATTCTAACCGATGGTACATGCAATCTGTTAGCGAAACCATTTCTTTGCACAAAAATTTATTGGAAAGCTTTTGCTCTCAATGAAAGCTGCCAGCTTTACATCCAGCTAGGATTGGCAATTTTTTCAATTTTTGTGAAAATTTTTTTAATCTCGTAAAATTTTTGAATTCCTATACATTTAAATTTGATAGTTTATTTTAAGCTTTAAATTGCATAAGCTTATTCTATAAATATTGCCAGCTAATATTATTTAATAAAAATTAATATATTTTGTGATTGAATTTTATATATGTATATATATGATGGATTTTATAAGTAATATAAAGTTTTCAACTACTATTTTACTCGAACATAAATATATCTTTATAATTATCTTAATCAGTACATAATAAAAAAACTAGTTGTTGCAAATATATATATATATATATATATATATATATATATATATATATATTTCTATTATACCTGGATATATCTGGCGAATTGTCTGAATTATTTTTGTTACGTAAAATAACAACGAGATTCTTGTTTGTCTCCACATATACATCAATAAGCGATGCAATAAATGTAATTTCCCTTACGTGCTCGTTTTATCAAAGCATTATCGTTGTCGTCTAATAAGAGAAGAGAGATGCTCCTTGGAGCTTATATACGAAGAGATAGAACACGTTGACCATCTCGTCCGCTAGAGTGGCCTTATATATATTGAGGATGAAAAATTCATAGGGCTCGCGATGTAACGTCCAATCTTAGGTATTTATTTCGCATGTAAGATGTACACGCGTCTGCGCGCATGTATTTTCCTCTTTCACGGAATACAATATCTAATTCTTCGGCATTTCTGTAGCTCACACAATATATAAAAGTAGCATACATATAAATTCAATACTTAAATATAAAAAGATAAATTTTGATATAATCCAATTTTATAAAGAAAAACATTTTAAGTAAGCAAAAATTTTTGTGCAAATTTATATTTTCTTGAAATTTGTTTGCATTTATTTTTAATTTATTCTTTAAATAAAAAGTTAAAAAGTTATGAAAAGTTTAAACATGATTTTAGATTTTTGTATCTTCGATATATTTAGAAGTCATAAGTTATAAGTAATTGAAAACTCAATATATAACAAATTGTTTATAAAAGAAAAGAAATATGAGAAAATAATATTATTATATAAAAATGACTCATCGAAATAAAATTATCTTCTAAGTTAGTAAATACTCGATAGGGCACAGTTATATGTAGGATTAACGGAATATAGTACATATAGATTAGGAGACGATATCTGAAGGAGTATCGATTATCACACCAGTACAAATTGGTAGATAATTGGCTGTGTCAGCTTGCGTGCACCGGTCTGGTTCCCCTAGACTGGACAATATCACATGACGGGAATTTAATAAAGTCCCGACCTGGACATTGCGTAGAACGTGGTTGAAAGAAATAGATGCGGAGCGTGTTCAGCATGCACAGAGTCCTCTTTCCTTCGATTTTTCCTCCTATCAGCCAGTTTGCCGCATCTCTCTTCTAGTTTTCGTTTCCTTTGCACAACTCTCCTCCGATTTTCTTTATTTTCTGATCGCGTAAGGATAAAATTTGAAAATAAAATGAAAGCTATCGAAGTCAAATGAATTTTTTCAGTCTTTTGTAAGTTGAAGAAGGAAATTTTAAAAAATTGATTCTTGAAAATTCGAGAGAATTGACTCTTGAATAATATTCAATTTGTTGTGTTATATAAAAAATACTACTGTGTATATAATTTTTAATGATTTTTCTATATTATTAGAATTAAATTTATAATTGACAATAAATAAAATATAATTGAGATATTTTTTTAGTTCTTCAAAACGTTTCTAATATCCTATAAGATAAGAATTTGCATTTTTTTAATTGTTCCTAGACTTTTGGAAAATCTGAAAAAATTTTTTAGTTATGACGTTGATCAAGCCTATTATTAAACATATATTTGTATTTTTAACTCTATTATAAAAATTAAAATATTGTTATAGTTAAGAAATAGTATTAGTAAATTAGTAATACCTTCTATAGTTTTCGTATTACTGTGTGTAATAATCGGTATTTCTTCATGTTCTTCTATTAAATTTATCCCTACAAAAATGTAATATGTATTTCTTAATATTAAAAATATTGATAAAAATATTAATAGTTTAACTTTTAATTAAAAATTAGTCTCATTAGAAAGGGTGGGGGGCACACTAGTAATATTAAATACAGACAGATTGGTAATATTAAATTTAATTTTTCTTTTTGTTGCATTTTATTAATTCATTAAATCTATAGAATACACTATATTCATAAAACAATAATTTGATTCGATAGTAAATTTGGTAATAGATAATAAAGAAAATTCGAATATATATATATATATATATATATATATATATATATATACGAATTTTTCTTATATATATATATATATACGAATTTTTCTTATATATATATATATATGAATTTTTCTTATATATATATATATATATATATACGAATTTTTCTTATATATATATATATATATATATATATATATATATATATACACAAATCAAAATGATAATTACATAAACTATTAGGCATTATTATAACTTAATTAGAAAAATTGTAATCCTAGTTTTCTAATTATTATATATTTCTTTTGCATATGATAGTATCACAGAAAATGTATACTATGTAACATTGTATATATACATATATTGCAAAGAATTTTCTATTACAATATATGTAAAATATGTGTTAAAGTATATAAAATATTTTTTCCAATAATTATGGTAACTGCAAATTATATATGGAAAATGATTTTATTGTCTTAAAGAATTATTTATATAACGATTCTAATTCTTTACATCAGTACAAACACATACGCGCGTGTTTATATAATATTATTTAATATCTCTAACATTCCTGTTATAAAATGAAATAATTAATTAGTTATAAATAGATAAAACTCAGTCGTATTAACGTTAAATTGTTAATTTGTAAAATAAAAATTATCAAATCTCTCTCACATATAAATATTTCATCATCATTTTATCAATGTTTTAAACAATAAAATATTTTTGAATTCACACAGTAATTAATGAAATATATAAAAGTTCAGATCTTCGTAACTTATTAAAAATTTAGATTAAAAACTAGGATGTTAATACTATAATAGGCTTTTTGAAAATAATAAGACTAATAATATAAGTTATCCATAAAGACAACAATAATACAAATATATGTTGAAAACATGTTGAAACAAACACATGATAATTAATAATTACTGTAATAAAAATTAAAAAACAAACTTCATTAATAGATCGTGATTTAATAAAATTATTATATATTCAAATATAATATTACACGATCATGATTATCTGACAAATCTTACGATATTCCATCTGTATGTTTGTTTCTTAACATTTGTGTAAACTTAATTTTTTTAAGCGTCATTTGCACACAACTTTGTCGTTAATTTGTCTCTTTTGTTTTAAGGAAGGCAATGTGTCATATATTTTATTACTAATCTAGAAATAATTGTATTACTTATTTTATATTGACACTTTACTTGTATTTCTATTGTTAGAATTGTCGCATTTGCAGATTTCCGTTGTCTGTTCTGTACATTTTGATGGACAACCGTCTTTTATCGCTTCCGATTTTATTCCACTATCATAAATCTTATTTTTCGATGGTTGCTCATATTTGCATATCACAGCATACATATCACCTCCTAAACGAAGCGCTAACCATCGATTTTTTATAACAGCCAACTTTAGACATTCACACTTCATTTTGGCGTGAAAATTTGTATGTAATGTTCTACCCATGCCCTCGATAACTATAAGATCCACATTATGCTTCACCATCGCAAGGCATAGATCCACATTAAGGCGACTATTGAATGATAAAATAATATATGTTATTAATATTAAAATATTAATGAATATTACAAAAGCTCTATGAAAGTATAGAACGTAAGAAATAAGAATATATAAAGAAACGTAAAAAATATATAAAATAGCTTTTCTTTTTATTATAAACAAAATATATAATTGCCTATAATTGTAATAAGATGTTTTACATCTTATTATCATTTAAAACATACCTGAGATCTAGACAAGGACCTGCTTGCGCAGTTTCCATGGCAATAAGTGTATTATCTTCTAGAGCCTGTTTGATAACATTACAAATTTTTGCGGCATCCCGTAATGTTACAACCAATTCGGGATATGTTACATCATTCAGAGCTGGCAAAGAATTAGCGCACAATATTACCTAAAAATATATTTTTAAAAAATAATAATTTCAACATAAAAAATATTTTCCTTATCAATTATTTAATAAATTAGTTTCTAAAAATGACATTTTTAAAAGTTTGATTCAAGTACTATTAATATCAATACAACTAACTTTTGTTCCTCGTTGTAATAAATCTCGTGCAAATGGCAAAATTCCAAGAATGATATCTACGCCACTATTGTCTATAAAAATTGCTGCGCATTTATGAGGCTGTCCATTCTGCAATCTATATATCCAATCATCTAAATTATCCTCTAACCATGGTCTACCTGTTTTCATATATAACAAAATATTTTTTAAAATTTTACTAAAATAACAAAAAGAATTTATTGAAAGATATATTTTGTAGTAGCCAGAAAGATTGCAACACTGATTTTTTATTAATAATAATAGTTTACCCGGAATTTTTGCTTGAGCTTCTTCAAAGCCAAAATCATCGGTTTCCAATAGTTTTGCAACATCTTTTGCAACCCAATCAAATATTTACCACTCAGAACGCCGAGAATCAAAGCTCTTATCTTTTCTATACCTTCCAACTTATCTAAAGCCGTTATGCGATCGTGTAGATGCCTCAATGCTTCCTCGTTCTCTTTTCTTTTTTGCTACAAATAAGACAATAGGATATAAATATAAATTTTGTGTTTTAATAATTCGAAAAATATTGAAAAAGAGAGATCACCTACATGTAAATATGGATCTGGAAAATCAAACTCTTTCATGCAATGCTCAATAGTATCCAGTAATATTCTAACTGTAAGTGCCCCATATGCACTGCAAATTAATCAAATCATATATTTATATATATATATATATAAATAATTTATTTTTGACTCTGATACTGAATATCCAATAGGAAAATAAACTATTAAGAGCTAGGCACGATTAACAAAACGCAGATTTTTTTTCCAATCAAGCTGAGTACATACTATCTTTAATAATCTCAGTGATTCCCTACGATGGTTAATCGCGAGTCTTTTTCCAATTACAACTCTTAGTCCATTTTTCCGTTAATTGGATAATTTATTTATTATTAATATTTCTCATTGGTGATGGAAAACTTACACTGGTTGTGTATGGAGATAATGTAACCTATTAATGTACTTCTCCTTAAGTTTTGATCCTCTATCCTTTGCTGTTGGACTATGTGGTTGACTGTGAATAGCTCTTGACACAAATTATCTACTGATTCTTCAAAACATTGCAGCCAATAATGTCTGTATATTATTAAGAAAAAAATTATAAATATTAAGCATAAATCATTTATTATTTACATTTGCATAATTTTTAAACATAGTTAAACAAAAAATCTCACACCTTGCCTCCTTATCCTGAGCGAGATCTGTAGTATCAGGAGTATAAGATGCAGGATCCTTCAATAATGGACAAAATGTAACAATATATTCTGCTTGATCAATATTTCTAACTGATCAATCTTTATTCCGAGATCAGTTGGCACCGAATCTTTAAAACCCGATGATCCAGCATAATTTTCCAACCAGCTGTATTTGTTTGACTGTTCAGTACCATACAAATATGCTCCAATCGCACCAAGGTAACCTTCATGGCGAGAAAGAGAGGCTTTACCTTACCCTAGATAATGGATATGTGACAGCAACATAAATATATAGAAAAACATAGTATACAAAGAGCCTGCATTTTACTCTGACTTTTGCTAATTATGTAGAAACAATTTGATTAAAAAAGATTAATTAAAAAAAAGAAAAAAAGTAAAGCTTAGAGAGAAATAAATGTAGAGACTAACGTGAGACCAATATTTGATGGAGTATGAAATGGTATGCATCGATAGTGGATGGTTACGAAGAAAATAACCACCAAAATAAACTCTGTCCATATTATATATAGTTGCATATAAACTAGCAATGTGTCCAATGTCATTACTAATGGTGAGCAATAAACTTCTTGCGAGATCAGCTTCAGAAAATGTTGATTGTCCTGAAATGTTATATGTGTTAATATAATTAATATATATTTAAATATATTAATGCAACATATTTCAGTTATTTTCAATTAAACTAAAAATTAATATAGTTAAGAATTTATTATATCAATCTTTATGATATCACTTTAAACACACATTTTGAGAGAATACATTTTTGACGTTAATCTTTTGATAGCGCTATATATTTATGCTTACCACAAGCCACTGCTTTGCCAAAAGCTGATGCAATAAGCTCTCCAGGTAAACCTTGGGAGGAATAATCGCCTCCATAAATATTTCACTAACATATCTACATTACGGTGATCCCCTCGTTCTGCAAGTTGCAGCAATTCATCAAAGCCCTAGCAGGGTATTTTTAAAGTCATTGTTTTAATACATATCTCTATATATATATAATTCACATGACTCAATGGAGTACTAAGATGGAGTAGAATCCTTTCATATAATATGAAACAATTCATTTTATCATAAAATTTCACTTCAAAGAAATTTATAAAGATCAAAGAAAAAAAACATGTATTTAAATAATATACTAATCAGTATGCAATTGTTTAACATTAGTAAAAAGAAATGGGTGTAATCTAAGAATTTTGTTATAAAATTTATACCTTTCTTTTTGTCAATAAGGACCCTAATCCCCAAAATGTACCTCCTCCTGTAGCTGTACCCCCGACTCTTTCAAACACTTCATCCGACTCTACCTATAAAAATTTTAAAAACTTTTTAAAAAAGTTCATTTATTTACTATAAAAAAAAATTATTAAATATCTATTATTTACTTTAAGAATACTGACGCCGCTACCAACATTAACTAGCAAATATGGAAATATGTTAGGTTCAGCTTTTTGAAATTTATACTCTGGATTCGCATGACGTTGAAACTCAAAAGCTTCACATGGTATATTTTTAAGTAAGAAATTACAGCCCTTTATCAGACAATCTATCTCATCCTCCTTGTCGACTCTGAAATGTATCTTATCAATTAGTAAACATGACATTGAGAATTTCACATGTTGTAAATTATAAGTTAAACTATGTGAATTAAATATTGCATATTTATATAAGATATTTTTATTTTAAAAATTTATTTTTAATATTTATATTTTGCACATTAAGTAAAATTTATAATATCAAAATACTTACAATAATCCTAATTTCTCTTGTAGCAAAGGAGTATATTTAAATGCTCCACCTCCAGTTACTTTAATACTTTTCCCGTGAAAGCGTTTGACATCTACTAAATTCTTCTTGACAAAGTCTAAGCAATTTTCAATATATCTTGTCTCAAACTTAACAAAGTGTAGTCTGCTACCTTCAAATACTTTGTATGCTCGTTCTCCACTATTTCCTAAACCTTCTGCATCCTCATAAAGTGCCTTACGATAACTTACTGTTGAATATAGGCAATTTTCGTCAAAGACAATCCTGAAATAATATATAATAATATATATTAAATTTGAAAAACATGAAAATATTTACTTTTTTCTTTGTACAATAAGCAACTGATAAATGTACAAGAGCAATTCGAAATTAGTCGTTTGGTACACAAATAACATAACATAATAGTTCATGACATAATAGATACAGTAGACATAAAAGATAATTAAATTTATTTCGCAACGGTTTATAATCATTTCGTGCAACGAGATGCGAGATGATGATAATGATGGTTAGCAAGAGCTAATCTCAAGCTAAGATGAAAATGCTATTCAGATAGGACCATATTTGGGGCTCCGATTGTATAACGTACCGATGTCTATAGCGAAGGTTTGCGCATTTTTCAAATTGGCAAACACCTCGACGGCCGGTGGCAATTTGATGCATTGCGGATGCGAGTGCTCGCTGTCGATCTCCGTTGCCATTTCCATTTCCATGTTACAGACGACAGTATGTCGAGTCTCCCAGCGTGATTGACACCTACTTGACGATCCGCGCGCATTTATAGACTGGCAGGTGGGTGATTGTATACCTACATGTTCGGCACGTGAGGATCAAGTGCTAGATAAGATACTTTGATTTATGTTGCCGACATAAACATCTGATTCTCTGGGGTGAGAGACTCCAAGAGGGAGTTTCGCTCTTTCTCGTTTTTGCTCGTACAATACACCAATTACTCGTTTACTCATACGTTGCGCATGCGGAGTATAATGTATACATTTTAGTCAAGGTTAGTTAGGTCAGGTTCGATAGGTTGATATATGTTCTACTGTATTCTTCATAGGTTTATTTATTCCTCTATTTATTTCCTAAGATTTACAAGATTTAAGAGATCATATAATTTAGCCTTAGATTCTGCACTTACGTAGCTTACACAGGTGTTCTTTTGAAACAATATATATTATTGATATTTTAATTGGAATAGCTTTGTGCTCATAATTACTGTGTTTATAAGTTTATAATATATACATTACGCGCGTATATAATATTTACATATTCGTGTCAATATAATCTAATTATCTTACTAATACATTAATGATTTTTCAATTTACAAATATAATTAATGTAGCATATCTTAATAAAAATTTCTTACAATTACAACATATATATTACATGCTGCATATCACCTACTTATTGCACTCATATATTTTAAAAATACTATGAAATTTAAACATATCTATAGAGTTTAAAACTTAAAAAATTTACAAAGCTATATGCAGATAAACTTTATGCAAAAGTTGCTTTTGATGTGTCACATTTAGAAGTAAAATATATTAATATCATAAAATACTAAAGTTATTAAAAATAAAATTAGGAATTTTTATTAGCATAAATGACACAAGTTCTATAATTTTTACTGTCGTTCGCAAATTTTAAATAAAATTTGAATAAAAAAATTTTTAAATTATCTTAAATTGATTTACTTTATGTATGGAAATAACATATGTATATTTTATTAAATATACTTAATCATAAAATAACAAAAAATCACTTGTAATTAAATTCTGCTTTTGCTTAAGAAAGCTTAGAATTCTTCTGCTTTAAGAACAGCAATTTAAACTTATTACTTTGTAATAAATTATATGAACCATATGTACAAAATTTATGAGATACAAATGGAATGTAGAAGGCTCTAAAAAGTGGATGCGACCTGTAACATAAATAATAGATTATGTTAGATATGAAAGCAATTACAATTAACTTGTATTAAATATATGAATAACATTTTTAAACTTACTTTGATGCATCTAGAAATCTAGAAGATTTTACAATAGTGAAATGATTACTTAGGCGAGAATAATTCGGTTCTAAAGTTGTTTCAGTTCCTATATCCAAATCTAATAGAAAATGGCACTTATCTACATTAAACTAAAAGCAAAAGAGAGATTGAAAGAAAATTTATAAGAGAGAATTGATATAATTATAAAATTTAATAATTTATAATATCTTGTCATTAAATAAGTACTTACATAGCGTGATAATTCCTCTCTATTCATATCATTAAAATGTGCTTGGATTATACTTGTTGCATTTTCATGATCTAGAAAAGGTTGTGGTAATTGTCCTTTAAATTCAGACTTCAAATATTGTAACTTCCAACTAAAAACAGTTTAACATTATATGTAAGAATAATACAATGGTATTAAATTAATACAAAATATGTATCTGCAGTAATATGTAGAAGAATTAGAAAAGAATTATTTTTTAATTAATTCAGAACTATGACTTTTGGACTCACTTATTGGATGGAAAGAAAAAACTGCTTGGAAAACGATGCCACTCTTTTCCAATACAAAAATTGATATTAACGTCGTTAGGTACTTCACCTTCTGTTCCAAGCTTGTTAGCTTCAAACATAATTTCCATAGGAGCATAATATCCTAACATAATAAATAAATTCTATATGTTAAATAGTATAAACTATATAAATGATTAAGTATATAAATTGTTATTTAAATATATAAAAAGTAATATATATTATGAAATATAAAACCTTTATATATCGCTAACGATCTCGACAATCCCAAGAGGCCACATATTAGTATTGCCAGAACGGTAATATGTGTAGTATATTGTAAATAATGGCAACTTATATGTGACGAATTGAATTTCGTCCTAAGAAAAAAGTATAACTTTTGTACAGTATCCACTGCTATAGCGCCTGCTAAACAAATCAGAGGATATACTGGAAACAAGAAGCGTTCCTCCTGTTAACACATTCATCTTGTCAATCTCACCGTTTTCTGTTTCATAGGTCAATGCATTTGTTATATTATTAGGTAATATTAGATAATAGAAACACACACATTTAAACAATCTAATTACACATTTAAAAATCTAAAATTTGCATACTTTTTAAGAATGCAAAAATATGTTTTAAATGTGTATTCATTCTTTTCTAATTAATGTAATATATTATTTGTTATACATACTTTGTGTGATTGAAGGAAGAACACGATAATCCATAAATATAAAGGCGCTAGCGAATACCAATAAGAAAGGCATAAACGATCTCTTGGTCGCGCCGGCACGATCAACCATACTAAAAACTATAATATATAACAGTAATTTTAAAATGCTGTCAAAATATATCACACGTTATATAAGATGTTGCAACTGTCGCGCACTTTCGTTTAGAAAACGATTTAAATAAACATTTTAGAGATGCAAATAATTAATATTTTGCTTATTCGATTATTAATTTGAAATTTAATTTGACTTATTGTTAGTACCAAAATATCAATAGTGAAAGAATGCTGAAAAATATAGTATTCATATCTTTAGAAATTTGAGAAAAAATATTAATTAAAATTTGCTAAAGAATAGTTTACAAAAAATGCGCGACTACTAAGGTATTCTATATATGCAAAAATATACTTTCAAAATTCTTACTAAGCCCAAGGGTGCAAATAATGCGCCGATAAAGACAAAGTTGAAATTCAAAAACCCATTGACGATATAATAGCTGAATGGTTCAGTGCCATAAAGATTAGGTCCATGATTGGTAAAAACATTGTACAATATGATGTTTAATGGTGCGGCGACGAATTTGCCAAAGTATAAGGAATCCACCCATACAATTGGTATTCCAATTACAACAGCGGATATAATAACCCATTTTATAAATTTACTCCATTCTCGCCTGTGTATTAATATTTCCACAGCAATAGGAAGTCTAGAAAGTAAGATAAAGAAAATAAACTTTTCATTGTATCATAATATATATGTACTGTTTACATTACATATACAAATTACCCTAGTAAAGCAGCAAATGGCCATCCAAGTAATGAAGAAATGGCTGTAGCAAAAATAGCCAATTCATACTGACGAGCATACCAAGCTGCTATGGCTACAGTACTTAAATACCTGTGAAAACATTAATATAGATCAATTATTTATCAAAATCCATATATATATATATATATATAAATTTCTTACAATATAATTAATGCTTACATTGAAAAAGATGATGGTAAAAATGCAGCGCTGGAAATATACATTCCAGAGCTGAGAGTAAGAAATGCTAATGTAAGCCTCGCTACATGAACTCCAAATTCACGACAGACATTTCTGGAAAATATAAGAGATTACAAGTCATAGAATAAAAGTAAGATTTGTATCAATTATAACTTAGACACAATATAGAATATCTATCATAGATAGTTTCATAAAAAAAACAAAACATACTTGTAAAAGTATACTTCAGATAATGCACAACCCACTGACAGGAAGCATCGTATAAAGTAGAAAACTAGTACAGGATTTGGTTCCAATAAGTAATGATAAACTTTTGCTGGTACCATGTGAATTAATAGATACATATATGAACGTAAGGCATATTCAGGACTATATTCCCATGTTTGTTGGCCTGTTCCATAGAGCAAGTAATGACTCTAAGACAATTCAGAAGATAATATAAATGCTATATTGCATAAAAGTATACGATATAAAAAACTAAGGAATAAAATTTATGATATAAATTTATATTTCATTCCTAACAATAATCTTTAATAATGTTTTGAAAAAATTAACTTCTTTTAATTAAAATGGAAATCACAACTCTAGATGCAACAATGTTTATAAAAAAATAATTTAAAAAATCTATATATTCATAAGCTTAAATGACATAAATTCACCGGTTCCCAATAATTGTAGGTTTCATCACAGTCTGTTATGTGACTCCATATAGCGGAGCAAAATCTTGCTGATAGTAACAGTTTGAAAGCTGTATCGTAACTAGGATAAATAAGTCCCACATCGGAAGATTCTTCTGGCCTGAAATGTATTTGTTTAATTTTTTGCTTTATACTTCTTTTACTTTCATATTTTAACTAGCATTATTTATATTACATGATACTTGGACAGGTTTGTGTTTTATAATTGAGGCTTGCAAAATTATAATTATTTTAAAAAATAATATAATGAGAATGTATATAATTTAACTTTCTGAATATATATATAGCATTATCTGCAATAATTAATCGAAAAAATATAAGTCAAATAAATATGCAGAATGTAGGATCTTTTTTGCTATTTTAAGATTCAGAAACTCACGTATCTTGAATTATAACAATTAAAAAAAATTAATACGAATATAATGTAAAATTAAAATTAAAATTTAATAAAAAATTAACATGAATTATATGAATATCATGAAGAAATATGCGTAATATTTGTTGTTGTCCAGTGTTTCCAATGCGTCACTGACAGGTTATTCAGGTTAACCGGTATACGAGTTGATGAACAAATTTCACGCACCAGAAATATTTATAAAACTGTTTAAAGGAAGGGAAAAGGGAAAGGGGAGAACATTTTATATACTTTGAGAATCTTCTTCCATTGATTTTTTTCAATTCTTTCTTCGACAAAACAAGCTGCCGCTGACGTTGATTAGGCGCCATGATCTTTTCGCGGACCTTATTCATTATGCATTTGCCTTTGCTCTCTCACTCTCACTCTTCTCTCTACTATTATCTACTGAGATCACTTTGTTAAAAAAAAAAGATATATATATATATATTTATCAATATTTAAAAATTAATACAAGAAAATATAAACAAAACCATAATTAAAATCTTTCATCGAATATTATTTTGCAAAATTAAAATTGCAAAAATTATGCTTATTTTTTTAAAGACAAAGATATTGAGAGAAGAAGGAAGAGACAGCTCTCGCCTCCATATGTCTATTTAAATTTAAACCTTTACAATATTCTTATATACATTTTAAACAGCATGTTTATAATTAAAGATTACTTCATATTTTAATTATTTGATGTATGCGCGTGCGTAAACATCTGTTATTTCCATAGCGATATAACAGATTGACGACAGACCAGACAATAGACAGATAATATATGTAAAAATGGAGATTGATCCAAAATTTACGTTCGTACCATTAAATCAGAAAAATTATGTTCTAATTAACGACAAAAATACACAAGAGTATCTTTGTAAATGGTAATATTAATATTTATTTATTTTAATATATAATACGATTTTTATACCGCGTAGATATATGCGTAATTATAATGTATATTTTTTATTCTCTCGATAAATGAATATAATGATTATTTTTAAGTGCATTAAAAATTATTTTATTCAGGGGTTTGAAAGGAAATTTTGTCATTCAAAATTTTTCGTTCAACGAATCATTTCAACAGTATCACAAATATCAGCTGGTTGATGTAAGTTATATGTTTCGTTTGTGAATAAACAAAAATAAAAATTAATCTTTTTATTGTGTAACAAAAGATTTAAATTAAATTAATTATTAACTATTAATTAAACAAAAGTGTGAGAAAATAGTGTATAATTATTCAACAATTATGTCTATATATATGTAATTTTTAATCATTATTAAAATTCATAAATTTGTAGGCGTTTTTTAAAGACGGTTCAGTTGCAAAAGTGTTACTGTCTAAACAGGGAAACGCTTGGGTAAAGCGAGGTATTATATATTTGTAATTTTTTAGTAAAAATTTGTTATAATAATATTTAGCCTTTTTATGAACAAAGTTAGCCGAATAAAATAAAACATTTTTACCGTTCTAGGCATACGAGCATTGAATGTGGAAATAAAGCAAGTACCATGTTCCGTTCTAAGTATGTCTTTCTTTAATAAACTGAAGGATCCAGATAATGGGATAACGTATAGTTCAGGAACGATTTGTAAAAGATTTGATACGCAAGTAGAGGATTTTGTGGTATCTGATAATTTACGTGGTGTAAGAAATACCTTCCATTAAAAATAAGCTCTGTGTTAATATTTAAAATTATTTAATGAAAGTTTATTAAAGTTACAAAAATTTTATGGAAATGCGTTTAAATAATCTGCAAATTTTGAAATGTGTATTTATATGTCGCACATTATTAGAAATTTTTAATGCACATATTATGTTATTTAGATGCTCTTAGATGAGGAATCGGAAGAATATAATTTATATTCAGAAGAAGAAAGAAATGAATTTGTTTTTCGAATTTTTCAAATGCTCATTCTTGGCGGAATATTATGCCAATTTGAGGATACATTAGAGCCATATTTAGACGTTACTAAAAATATTTATAAGAATCTTATAAGGTTATTATCAGGATATTTACAATTAAATTTGTTTTCAACGAAATATAGAATGCGAAATTTAATGCAGCATTTATTCTAGGGTACAAAACCAAAGTGCTTCAAATGATTTAGTCGTAAGTACTTTGGTGTTAGAAGTAATTGCTAAGGATAGCAAAGGTCAAGATTATTTTCCATCTGATTCTAGTAAAAGGCAAAATTTTGCGTTCCTATTGATAGATGCTAATTCTCGTGAAATTACAACTTTTGTGCATCAATATGGCGGATATTGTCCTGTGGACTGAGAATCTAATTACATTATATATATATATATATATATATATATATATATATATAATATATACTCGTATATATTTCATAATCGTATATATTTCGTTTTATTGCAAATATCATATTTATTATTCATCTTCTGCATATTTGCTTTTATTCATCATAGTATATTTGAAGATTTGATTGATAGTATATTATTAGCAAATAAAATTAGCATAATATAGTGTTTTATAGACACAAAAAAGTTCATATAAAATAATTTATGACAATCAGTATCAATAAATCAATATATATATATATATATATATTTCATACAAGATAATTTATTTAATTATAAATTGTGAGCTATATATATATATATATATATATATATATATATATATATATACTTAATTGTGTTTATCTGCATTTTTTCTATATATAATTTAATTTATATATAATTACAATTTTTTTGTCGTATATGTGTGTAAAAAGAGTTTTTTGCTTAATTGAACACCACTATAGTATATATATATATATATATATATATATATATATATATATATATATATATATAAATTATATATAAGAATCATTAAATTCATTTGCAAAAGTTTTATTTATTTGAATTAACTTATATTACATACTAATATCATTTAGTTGTGGGCATTATATTTCGTCAAATTAAACATAAATAAAACATTTAAAATTAAATCTCTGCATAATTCTGTTACATATATATATTCACTTTATTATTGCCTTTTTGCATTTAATTAAATAATTTCTTGCAAAATATCTGTATCAGTATTCTGCTAAAAAAATCATGTACATAAATCTTGCAAATATATAAATAGAAACTTTCTCCATGTTATATCTATATAACACGCAGACTATCCATCAATTGATAAAATGAAATCATTAAATGTTTCATAAAAAATGAATTAAGTACAATTTTTAATAAACATATCTTTGAATAATTTGAACCAGTACGATAAAAATTATAATTGTAATATATTGGCACGATATAAATTCCGAACAGAGTTTAGAAATGTATATATGTTACAGAGATTTTATAAAAATAATATGAAGATTATAGACAATCGACAATTGTGGATAATCACTTATATATGTATTTTTATATTTTTTTATTTATCTATATGATTAATTATTAATATGAATAATTATTAATATGACAAATATAAATAATGATAATTTAAATAATTTTCGACAAATTATTTAAAAGCATCTATTACAATCTTTGTAACATATAGAAATACATATCAAAAATTTTATATACGTATATGTATATTGAAATATGATTGCTTCTACAATTGTCATTGATAGATATGAGAACTCTTTAGGAATGATATGTGCCACATGATATTCTCTTGATAATTCATTTAGCTAATTCGTCGATACGTAATTAAGAATTTAAAAATTTAAATGAACATCACGTATAATGAATAATTTAAATAATATATCAGTCTAACGTAGGCAATTCTGTACAGCATAAAAAATATTAAATCACAGCACTTTTCTTTAAAATTAAATAACGTTTTTCGCGTTATATAATTAAAATTGTCACTTTCTTTGATTAATATTTTGATGTATGTTTCTATGTACAGTATTGAAAACTATACTATATATAAAGATCCCTTCCTACCTACCCTTTACAATAGCAATATTTACGTAGATGAAACAGAGAATTTTCCACACATCTCGCTTGAGATCCATACATATTAATTCTGCTAACATCGGAAATCTATAAATAGAAATTATACATATATTCGTTGTAAAATATATTTGTATTTTTATTAGTTATACATTGATTCCTGAGCTTACCTTAACGTAGAAAGCATTTTCTGCGAGATTGTGAGTAATGCTAACTTCGAATAGCGCATTACCTGGCACTGTTTTCACTTTTAATTGATAAATCTCTGTCGCTACTTTTGTTTTCGCAGTAAAATCACCTATGAAACCGTCTTGATCTCCAGATTTTCGAAAATCTAATAAACCTGTAAAATATCGTAAACACATTAGCTTCTCTTTTATGATGATATAATTATCTTCTCTTGCACGCTATACCTTTGGTAGGTATGAGCTTAGCAGCCCATAGGATCTTGTCCAAATGTAATATCGCGCATATGTCATGATGATCCACAGTATAACCATTAAGAAATTGAACGAAATAATTGGCAGCGGCGACAACGTTCGTATCGTCGATCGAAATTTCCTTCCATCCGAGACAAGCACACCAATGTGGCTCTATGAATGCATCCGCGCATGTTCTGTTCAAGGGCACCTAAAGATAAAATATTACGTTAATTTAACCCATTTTATCTCTCATTTTCACATATATTTGATAGTACAAAAATTATAAATTCATGAATTGTGTTGCATAGTGTTATTAATAACGTATTGATTTAATAACAAATTTATTACTAGTTAAAAAAAATCAGGAATTATGCTTTATCATACAAAACTAAAAAATATCTTTGTGAAACTAATTCTATAGTGTTAGTAAACAATTTGTTTAGCAATGAATCAGAAAGGAAGAAGTAGGAAAAGTGATGGTAGAAGGAGTGAAGGAGAATAGAATAGTGGGACATAACACAGGAAGTAGTGGGGATATTCCACATAAGGGATTCATGGTATTAAGCATTAGTATGATTCATCTGTTACAGATACATGTCACAAATTCTCAGTTAAATTGATTTATTCTTTTAAAATTTATGCAAAAATTCGGTGTTTTTTTTACAATTACTTGAGATAGAACTCAATACTTGAACAAGAGGCATTTATGAAATATATCCCAGCCAGAAATGATATCGAATTGACATCGATTCGACGTCAATTTGATTATTCATTTCTGGCTGATATATATATATATATATATATATATATATATATATATATATGTATGTATGTGTGTCTAAAACTATAATTATGTACATTATTGCATTAATTACATTAACTTACCTTATCAAATAAACTGATGGCTCTTTGACGTCGATCCCCATCTTTCGGTGTGTCAAAGTTACGTATGTTCTCCAATGTCTTGTGTACGTCAAACGGCGATGTTAAGTATTGTGTATTATATACAAAGTTTGCATATGCTTGTGGATGGCTTTGTTTAAACCATGGTGGAAAAATGAAAGAGAAAAACGGCAATCTTTCCTCTTGTTTACCTTGGAGAGTATTACGTATATCTGCAAATCTGCAAAATAAAAATAATGATTGCTTGCATATCAAATAGCTAATATGTTCATATAAACTCAGTAAAAAATATAAAACGTATTAATGTCATATATATATATATATATATATATATATATATATATATATATATATAATATTCAGACCTGTGTCCATGATCGCTCATCAAAATCAAAATGGTGTTGTTTAAATGTCCGAAATCGTAAAGATCTTTCACCCAAGAATATACATCGTTATCCACGACTCCGATATCATTGTAAGAATCGTGAGAAAGTTCACCATGAAATCCAAATACAAATTTTGGTTGATTTTTATACGTATTAAATATCGTTTTTATATAATTCATCATCACCTACGTAAAAATAATTAAATCAGTAATTAAATTAGCGCATTTCTTCTTTTATCTTATAATTTCTTTCTCTATTTAGATATTAGTTACGTAACATTTTATACATACCATATGACGCGGGATGCCAGCTATACAATATTTGTTATATGTTTTGAAATACGGAGAGGCGGCTAGATAATACGTGCGCATATAATGATGAGTCGGTTGTTCGTCAAATCCTTTTAAGCGATACGTGAATGTCCCGATATGCGGTACATCTTCCATAAAGCCTGTTATATATCCGTGCTCCTTATATTTATTCCATATCATGGGATACACGTTGACATAGTTCGCTTTGTTACCCATTCGTTTCCGCGTTTCTGGTAATTCAAGTTCGATCTTGCCAGTTAAAATTGGGATAAGGGCTTGTGGTGTACCATCTCCTACGATGTTGTATCCTTCTAACACTAGAGCATTTAATCGTTCTTTTATGAAATGATAAGTTTTCGGTAATTTACGAATAAATGTATTTCGCGACAGTGAATCGAAGCCAAACATAAGCACGTTTAATTTCAGGCCTGTGTTTGGCACATTGTCCCAACTATGTTGCTTCTCGACGTACGGATCGTATTTTACTCCGGCGAGTACACTACGCCACCTAAGCATATTCATGATCAGTGATCGAACAAGAACATTTGTAAAAATATAAGCATAAACAAATTAACTAACACGTCTCCATTTTGTGATTTGCATCTAACACTTGCAAAATCGCTGTCCTTCAAAGTATAGAAATCGTCAGCTTGTATACCATCTAACAATTTTACATTGTAATCATCTGTTCTGATAATTTCTGAAAAGAAAATATATATCACATAGATATTATATAGCATAATAGGAAATAACAGTATAATAATTTCATATTGCAACTAATTGATATAATTATCTCTATTAGCACTTAAATAATAATGCTTGTATATATATATATATATATAATATAAAGAATATTATATTTATATTAAAATATAAAAACAATATTTTTTTACTCACCACTGAATATGCATATTATTCGTCCATGTTTCGTTCTTGCTTTATTAGTAATGACAAGTCTTGATCCTTCCACTGTGACCCAATCTTCAGGTCCACATGATAAAGGTGGCACATCGTATATAAATTTCATTATTTCTGGACTAGAGATATTTAATTGAGGTAATTTACACGCAACACCTTCTCTGCACAAACATATTAAACAAATAATAAATATCTATAAATAATATGACAACTATGAATAAAATGCATGAATTATCATATGCTGTGATTATATATTATTACTCAGATGTTGAATTATCAAATATCAAATGAGATTGTATTAAAATTTAAATATCATTGCCTCACTTTTTGAAAATAGATTATTGTATACATACCTCCCATAAGACTGTTCTGACTCTTTGATTAATTGTGATATGTGTACTCTGAAATTATTTGATAAAAATTACAAGATGAAAAATATATCAACTTGAATATTAAAGCAAAAACGTAAAATAAAATATTAAAATATTACTTACAATTTGTCTAAATTTGAAAGATCAGGTTCATTAAATCCTAATTCTGTTCTTATTACTTGAATGACACAAAATAACAGTGCTAGAGATAGTGCTGCTATTATACAACGACGAAAATGGCACGCCATGATTCTCATGTTTATTCACTTCACTATATTAATAATTTCTGTAAAATATAAAATGCCATGAGCTTAAGATTAATTAACGATACTTAATTAGGAAAAAATAAATATATCCTTTTTTCCTTCTTTTTCATATAATGTATGTTTCATATACTAATTGAATTTTCTTGCACATATTCAAAACAGTATATTTTTTGATCATTTATAAATATCATAAAAATAACATTTAAAATACTCAAAATAATTAATAAAGTATAATTAAAATATAATTTATTTTGATTTGTGATAAAATTAACAAATTTATTTAGCGTAGTAAGAGTTTATTCTCTCTCTCTCTCTCTCTCTCTCTCTCATTCTTATAACTATTTTAACTTTTTCTCTTACATGTTCAGATAGAAACATTTTTATAGAATATGACTATAGAACAATGTTGATTCCAGTCCACTGACGTTTACTGTATGAACCCTTACTTGCTACTGTCTGCTACAGGACATATCTTTTCTCATAACATGGACGATAATAAGATGATATATTGCTGATAGTGAGACTTTATGTACTGTTGCACAATATAACAGATGCAAATACTGAGTATTTTCTGATAATTGTCATAATCAATTTCAATATTCTTACTTGTTCTTTAGTATTTAGTAAAATAGTATATGTATATATGTAAAGATGTCTTTAATAATTTTTTAAATTATAATTAATAGTGACAATATGGATATTATTTAAATTAAATATATTGAAATAATAATTGGAGACTGACATATCGATATATATTATTTATGATGTTGATTAGATCTTTTTGTATATACAATTTTATTATATGTAAGAATAAACAAAGAATATTGAGAATATTATAGAATGTAATTATATAATTATAGCATCAATCATACACTTAAAAATCAGATAATAATTGAATGTTAAAAATTGCATTGCATCATATATACACAGTCGTTGTGCTTATCTAATCATGTACAGTTATGATCAAACATTTTGAAAACTCAAGAATTACTCCTTTATTTTCTTATCTTAATATTCATTCTTATCATATTTGTATGGTATTCATGAATACTCTCGTAGAGTTTCTATAAAAATTGAATGTAGATGTAATATTAGTAACGTGTAGAATAATTTGTGTTGCCAAATACATTCACATACCACTTGCGTATATGAGTATTTAAATGATCAAACAATAAAATTAAATAAAAAGAGGCCATAGACTTTTAATTGTAAAACATCACAGTATAATTAATACGTAAAACTGGATTCTGATATTAGGTACATTTGTTTTACATTAACAAACTTAGCAGACAGATACATAATAATTGCCTACAGAAAGACTTTACATATCACACACATGCATAAATATACAAAACAAAAAAGTATTACCTTTACATTATCACTCATAACAGGCGATTTCAGTGCAAATACATAAGATTAACATTCGACATTTGCAACAACAGACCAACACGATCGGAAAGAATATTGGGACATATATTAACAAGAGTCCAACAAAATTCTCATCGAAAACGATTCAAGACACAAGTTATAATAGTCTGTCAAGGTGTTCAGACAAGTGATATAAGAATCTGGCCTTTGTTTCGGTCCATGTTGCGAACTGTGCAATGCTTGACGCACGCGTGCAAAATACCGTGAGTTGCACGTTGAGGTTGAGGTCGAAAGTCGAAAGTCGAATGTCAATGAAAGATCGACCGATGGCATTATATATGTACAATTTGATTATTTATTAAAAAAAAATATTTCTTTTTTTCATCTCCTTTCTTTTAATATTTTATTTTGATTATAATATTTTCTTTTAATATTTTATTTTGTTCAACCGGGTCGATCGGGAAATTTCGGAGAATTTCGGAGAGTTTCGAGACTATACTATATATATATATATATATATATATATATATACAATTTACGTGTGTAAAATCTCAACGATAAAATGCACAAAAATAGAATGGCTTTTCTGCAACAGAGAAAAAGGTAATTTTACATAATTTTTTGCTAAACTGATATTGAAAAAAAATGTTGAATTTAATGATTCTTAATTGTGACTTTATAATAATTTATTTGTAAACAATATGCAAACCACAAATTAATGAGACACGACTATTTAATATACTTATTAATATATAATAAATATAAAAATATAATTAATATTTTTATAAATCTGACACGTATATATAGTCTTATATGTTACTGAATAAATCAGCTGATCGCTTACGAAACGGTCGGGTCTTGTGCCAATACACGACAGGGTGCTGTCAACACAGCTGCATTACAGATACATAGTTACAATATGCTTACTAACTGCTCGATCGATCCGTTACGTTGAAAGTTCGTAGACGTTATGTCAGCAAAACAATTTGCTTTATATGTCAAAATGTTTTTATACATGTATGATGCAATACATAGAATTTTTATTACAAAAAATTACGCACAATATTTTCCACAAATTTATAGTAAGCGAAGTATATATTATATATATTACCATTCTTTTAACTCTTTTTGTTGGATATTGCACATATGCGTCTTTACTTTGCGATGTCCGGAAGGAAAGAGAGAGGGAAAGAGTATATTAAACATATGCAGGGACACATGTATAGGGAAAAAACCGCAGCTACGCCCATATTTCCTGGTTTATATATTATATGTACATACATACTCTTCTTAATGTCTACTTAATATATATCACTATAGTAAGTGCAATATTAAATTTTTTAATCGAGAAATTGCAAATTTTTAAAAATTTTATTATGTGTGTGTGTTTGAATTATATAGCTTTGTTTAATTTTAAATGTTCTATTTTAAAACACTATCTATTTTGTTTTAAAAATTCGAACAAATATATATGTATATAAATAAGTAATCATGTTTGCAACGAAGCTGTACAGAAAGAAATTATCTCTCGGAAATTATACTTTTATTCGGTATTTGTTTCGAAATATAATTATATAATTATATCATAATAATGATACAATAAATATTTATATATTTTTTCAGAGAGAGGGCGGAACTATAAATAATAAAATGATTGACTATACTAATAAAAGTTATTTAGCTAAAGGAGATATATTATCAATTATATTGTATTAATCAAAATAATAATCATGAAACAAAAATATATTTAAAAAATATTGAAAATTTTACTCAATGAGATTATTGAAATGTATTTTTTATATAATTATTATAAGTGCCAATATATCTATTAATATTTGTTGATTTGAGGAAATGAATAACATACTTAATATGCATTACTAATAATTATAGTTACATTTATTGTTAATTAAAAGAAATTATTAAGTTTCACTGGAAATAAGAACTGTAGTATATTTATTTATAATGTATATATTTATTTACATCATTAATTTTTCAAGTAGACAGATATTGTGTAAGTAAAAAACTTGTACATTATTTTTTATGTGTGTATTAAATTACGCACATGTACATACCGTATACATACATACATTATTAATCAACGATCATAAAGCACACTTTATATTTTTTAGTCGTATATACATTCTATGAAATTATACATTAAAAAATATTTGTATCAAAATATACAATTTATCAAAACAGTTTATTGGAAAAAAATTACAAATTACGTTTTTTATAAGTCGCATTCAATTTTTCATATTGTAACTATTATTTACAAGAGCAATATATTGGTTTAACATAATATTGTTATAATAGAGGTGTCGTATAAACACTCAATTATTCTTCACGGAACTTTCTTATAAAATAATTTAATTATAAATATACTTTTGTGTTTTTTAAAAGAGCTTGTTAAGAATTCGCTGATCCAGTCAAACTTATATATTTTATAGGTTTGTGCAGATAATGTGTTTCGTAAATATAGTCGTAAATATGATTATTTGTGCATTTTCTTAAATAATGATTATTTATATATGTGTGTATATCTCGCTATCTATCTTTGTATACAAAACTTAATGATAACGACTAGTATCTTTGCGATGGCCTTTACATGGTCGTAATAATTTACAAGGATGACGTTTAAACACTTACAAAAACGTCCTGCTCTTTGTTATTATATATACATATATTAGTCATGTTTATATTATTAATAAATATATATAGAAAATATGTATATAATGTATATAAATTTTCAGGCTTTAAAAATTATAGAAATGAAAAAAAATGATTCTATTATAATAGCGGCATAATATTAATCTTGTAATTTATGTCGGACTCTGATTTTGTCAGTAAATGTCTAAGTTTCTTTAATAATTGTAATATAATCAGTCATATCAGCAACTTTAAATTATATCGTTGATATGAAAGGAATCGTAAATAAGGTGTTAGAAATATTATTAGACTTCTTTGTTTGCGTGAACAATATTGAACCGCTCAAAGCGGCAGTCTTTTCAGCATATTATTCCGCTTTGTGCAACGATAGGCTACCTCTCCATGGAAACATGCGGTGTCCCTGCGGTAATAATTTACTTTCTTTAGTGACATTGCAATATCAAACATTTCTTAAGTGGCTTAATTAATTTTATTCAGTGCATTTTAAAAACTATATCAATTAAAAATAATAAATCTCAAAATAACATCGTAAGAAAGATATTACTGTTTCTAAATATCCTCCTTTATTGGTCAGATTTAGCACTTGTTAATTATTTTCCTAAAATAAAATTACAATTGAAGGAACGTCATTTATTTGTTTTTATCTCAGCAATCCAAAAAATGTGACGAGTAAAATTATACAGCACTCCCGAAAAACATATAATAAAAGCAAGAATTCCAAAAAGACATTTAGAAGCTATACCAATTGATAGAAAGCATTAGGAGGAGATTATGTTTGTTGAAGACTAGACAGAAATATTACGTATTTTTTTGAAATTATTATTTTAAATTAATGTAGTTCTAAAATTTTGTAAATATGCACTATGTATACACAAGTAATTTGTTTTAATCAGTCTTTAAAAATGATTGAATTAAATATTGAATTTAAGAAATTGAATAAATAATATACAAGTCAAATAATAAAAAATAATTATGATCTTGATGTGAAATAAAAAAGTAAGAGTTTAATTTTTTATTATAGGTATAAATATATTTTTTTTAATTATTTTTACCATTTGCGATGATCTACGTTCGCTGTCGTCGTCAGTACAATTGAAAATTTGTATAGGTTCTTCAATTCTCCGCAAAATTTTCATTGGTCTGCAAGTCTCATTTGTAAGTAATAAAAAATCAGGTATTAAGCAAACAACAACGATGATAATGGTAATTAACCAGAACGAGGGCGACATTAATAATCTCTCAAAGACCCCAAACATGTCACCATCGTATTTCCTAGAAAAACACAATTGTGTATAACAATTTTTAAATAGAAATTATTTGTTATACTTTTTAAATATAATCTATGATTATTAATTATCATAACTTTTCTGATAAAATGGATTTACTTACACATTTATAACCGAATAGCAAAATGCGCTTAGAAAAAATACTAATTCGGAAAGTAATACGCTTAGAACTAATGGGAATGTCCAATATGAGCTACGCAACAAAATCTGAAATATATTTCCATCAAAATATATTAATTTACATGACTATAAGATCGTTGATTCAAAAGATAGTTAAATTTAAAAAATTCAACCATTATAATAGAACTTTTTTAATACATGACGTATAAAACATATGAAACACTCTCTTAATTGTTCATTTTTTAAATCAATTAAAATTATTAAAATTAATGATTTTAATCTACATGTATAATGGCACTATTATTACCTGTAAATTCGCTAGTAAAGTTACTATATGAAAAATGCATGTACTGTAAGCCCAGTGGTCAACCGGTGTATTATCGTACAAATACGTTGGATTGATGTATGAGATACAATATATCATAAAATATGTTATCCCTGTATGCCATAATCCTAAAAAAATAATAATAAGAAGAAAGTTATTATCTATCGATGTCTTGCGTTAGTTTCATAAAAAAGTAAAATGGCACGAGATATATAAAATAAATTTTTATATATATTAATATTCTTATATATTTTTATTATGTTTATTTAATAAAAATAACTTTTATATATATCAATTGAAGAAAAGAAAATTATTAAATTTTCTATATATACAGACCTAAAAGCATCCATACCATGAATTGTTTTCTTGACATTAAGTAATTGTTTTTATTAAGTTTATACAAGTACGGATGTCGCATAAGTTTTTTCGCATTGTGATCCTGTTCCAATAATCCGTATAGCAATATTGGTAGCGACGTGAATAACAAGTTAAAGCACATTAGAAATACACCATCATAAAGTTCCTATAAAAATATACAGGATAACATATATTATTATCTTTTACATGGCATATTTGTAATTATCTTAATTTATAAAATTATAACAAAAATTAGATATGTAATAATTTTATTTATTAATCATCTATGTTTTAGGGAGATCTATTAAATACCAAATAAAAATACGTGCGATATGTGAAAGGGAAGATATATAATTTATTCGCGTAACATAAGAATACAAAATACCGCGAGGATTTGCATTTTTTGATAGAACGAAAATAGGACGTTATTATTTTCTGTCACCTGTGTGGAGAAACCACTGTGAATGCCGAATAGCACCTGCGGCGTTATGAATACTAGGTTTTTGTAGAAGAAATACTGCATCAGGATGGTGATGCGCAGATAGTACCAGTGACCATGCACTAACAATGCTTTTTTCAGATACATAAACTTTGTGAAAGCAAAGTCGGCCGATATCGACGCTTGGCGACCTTCTTTTCCCAATATTCCGATTCCCACATGAGCTTCCTGTATCATCGAAACGTCGTTTCCGCCATCGCCGATAGCCGCGGTGTGCGGACGACTACGTGCAGTTTTTATCAAATGCACAATCTATGCACATGTTATATTTTTAATATATATATATATATATTTTTTTTTTATGGTATATTAAGTATTTATATCGAGTAAATATAATATAATAAAAAGAACCTCGCTTTTTTGCAACGGCGTCAATCTGCAACAGACGACTGCTTCACAGGCCATTCCGACAGATTTAAATAATCCGGGACAATTTCGTAAAATCGCTGCCATGCTCGTACCATCTATTATCAAACCGTACTGCTTATGTGGTTCCAATTTTATTTTGCGGCTGTAAAAAGAAATAATGTTTTGTATAGGATTAGTATATATTCTACTTTCTTGAAATTAATATATTATTATTGATAAGTAATTATTTTTTTAGTCATAAGTACACGGAGAGAATTTTCTCTTAGAACTTACCCTGAAAATCATGGTAATCGTAGGATAATATGAAAGAATTTTATAAGAGTTTCTCTGATTAATATTTATCACAGTAAAGAATATTAATATATACATAGTAAATTTTACTATGTACATAATAAAATTAATCGAGTATATTTTATATCTTAGTAGATATTAATATTTTTATTGTGGTAAATATTAATAAGAAAAATTCTTTATAAAATTCTTCCAATACCATATTGTCCCACGATTACCATAAAATTCTCTCTGTGTATAACAATGACATCTCATTAAGAAGAATCGGTAATAATAGCTGATTTACAATAAAATCTTATACTGTCATAATTAAAGATATATATATATATATATATATATATATATATATATATAGATGAAGCAACAATGTGTGAGTGTTTTCAGTGAAATTCTGATTGATCTTTGATGAAATATTGTCACCGTTTTAATTAGTGACATTTTCATTAATTCAGTTTTATGAAAAATGATTTGTGTATTAACTGAGTATATAGATTTTTTGATAGACGCATTGTACGTGACCAGACACTGCATAAGAAATAATATATGAATAGTTAAATAGGTAATACAATTAACGTGAAAAGAAAATGAAATTTTGGATGTATATACAAGTTCACTTACTCGAAATTAGTAAGAATCAGTAAACAGGATTGCCCTGAGGTTTCCTCCATCAGTCTTAAAACTTCGGTACCCTTTTTAAAATGGCCACAGAGAAAAGCAATGTTCTCCGCAGTTTCTGCTTTATCTCCCGTGAGCACCCATATCTAAACAATAAGAATTCGCAGATTGGAATATTACTCTTTTCGAAGTTAATTATTTTAATGAACTTTATATCTTCTAAAATATTTTTTTAAATTTAAGAAACACATACATATGTAATATTTAATGTTATAATATTTAATAATTGTTTTTTATAAAATATATGTATATAAAAATTATATTTTTGAGGATATATATAACAAAAAAAAATATTATAATTTTAAAACGATCGGTGATAAAACCGATATGTGACTTGAAAGTTGAATAGTAAATGGTTCAATGATATATATAAAAACTAACTTTGATTCCCGCGACTCGTAAGCATTCCAAAGTCTCTTGCACATTGTCTTGTAGACGATCTTCTACTGCGGTTACTCCGAGTAAAATGAGTCCGTTCTCCATAAGATTATATGCACATGTCATGTGCGCTGCTCTCTCCGTGCCGATTATCTGTCTAGCTTGCTCGATATTTTGCGATAACCTATTATACTCAGATGTGTCCATCTTCTTGTACGCTATAACTAATGTTCGCAAACCTCTCTGATAAAAATTGAGAAATTTTAATAAAGTGAAAGATATCATTTTTATAATATGCATATAGAATATAAAAACATACAGTATAAAGTTCAATTTAGTAAAGTGAAAGATATAACTTCTATAATATACATAGAATATAAAAACATACAGTATAAAGTTCAATTTAAAATAATAAAAAAACACACACATATATATATATATATATATGTATTATATTTTATGATACATAATATAAATACTCCTAAAAAAGTCAAACATTTTTGCAATCAGATAAATTAATTTTTAAATTGAATATGCATTGTATCATTCGGAAATGTCAATTAATGCAGTTATCATTATTTACAATCATGAGATAACATACCATGGAGAAATCGGAAACATGAAGGGAAGCTTCTTGCATCTTTCCTTCAACAATTAATGGTAGAACAGCCGAATCCGCACCCTTACAATATAGCCAAATATCGTTTGCAGAATCTTTCACTATGACCGACATTCTTTTTCGTTCTGTATATGTTCAAGATAGATCTATTATAATAATACTTTTCCCTTTAATCTTGAAACTTAATTATAATACAAATAATTAAATTCTGTTTTAAGATTAATTATAGATTTATGAATAATGTTCGATCTTAATGGTAATTTGAGTGACAATTATTTTAATAATTATTTTATTATACATATACGTGATATTTAATTTTTTCTTAATAAATTATTGTATACTGATTTATGCTGATTTTGCAAATACGTACCAGAAGTGAATTCTAGTATCTCCAATTTCTGAAAAACTAATGCGTTTTTGTTGATTTGGATGTGCATTTCCTCATTAGTATCCTTCTGAAAAATAACACCGCATCTGGCACTTGCCTCCACCAGTGCCTTCTCGTCTGCCGATGCTGCCTGCCATATGTTACACGTGTTTGTACATATCTTTATATGGAGTTAATCGAGTATCCACGTTTACACTTCGTTGTAGGTAAATATTAGCATTGGATAAACAAAAAAGTGCGATATCGCAAATTCGATATTTGCGTACGCGAGCTATATTTACCTGATATTGAGGTAAATCCGGATGCATCATCAACGTACTGTTGACCCTCGTGATTTTTTTTAATCTGAAGCTTTCGCGGAACAAAGTGCGTTTAGCTACGATTTCGGGACGTTGACTCGGCGGTGCGATTTGGACCACGTGGCACAGCGATATACTTATCATGAAATGCCAAATATTCTCCTACACAATGGCGTAATTTCAATATTGTTACTACAATTCTATTTTATTTTATAAATAATAATAACGCGAATATTATTTTTTTTATGCAAATTCACCTCCCATGACGTTAGCTTGACAGCCTCCTCTTCGTTTCCGCTTGACGGCAATAGATAAAGATTTCCGTCGCAATCTTTTTCCATGTACACGTTGCCATTGATCGAGCAGCGTCTGAACACCATCAAATTTTCAGTGAGCGTGCCGGTCTTATCGGTAAATAAATATTCAACCTGACCAAGCTCCTCGTTCAAGTCTGACGAGTTGGCGAGCGCAGGCTGATCGCTGTCCGCATCGTACATGTCCAAGTCCCAGCCGAAAAAAAAGGAGCCGAGGAACTTTTGTAATTCTGAAAAAATATAGACAAATCTTTATTGACATTGTTGTGAATTTAATTTCAATGTATTTTATAAATATGTTTTTGCATATTTAGAATGTTTCAGAGAGAGAAAAAAGATAGAAATAGAAAATAGAAAAATATTTGAATTATAATACCAAGATTTCAATAATGTTATGTTAAGAAAAGGCTTTTATGTTAAGACAGAAAGCTTAGAAAAAAGAACTGTGCAAACAAAAATGTCTCACCGACAGTGACATATAATGATATCGGGACGATGTAATTGAATAAGATAAGAAAGCTCATAATATCCGTAATCAACGTTGAAAACTTAATTGCAGGTAATGGGCCCAGATAGCTGTCCCATTTTTCATAGGATTCAACGTACAACTTCAGCAGAGTAGATGCTAATACTTCAATCAACAGTATCCCGACATATATAATAAGGTATTTATTAATAGATCTGCGAATGATATAATATGTGGATAAGTATAAATCTAAGCAGCAATTTCTACATTAAATAAAATATAAATAAAATATAATATTTAAAAATATAATTTTAAGCTTTTTGTTATATAATGTGACATTATATGATAGCAAAAATGCAAGCAGATTTAGCGGAAGCGAACAATTATATATCAATTATTATATATTTTTATACATAAATAAAAAAAGCTTGAATAATTACTTCTCAGCGATTGAGAATTTATTGCTGACTATCTTTGAATTGAGTGACAATTTTGTGTCCTGTCCAGTATAAACTGCACAACCGACCACATATTCGGTGTCTTTTAGCCTCGATCCACGCAGCAAAAGATTATCTATCGTTAGATGCCCATTCAATACTTCCCTGCCATTGTTAATCTCAAGTTTGCCATAGAAGGTATAAAGATTTGCCATAGGATGTTGACACGTAATCGTCGCTTCCATACCTACTATATGCGAAAGCGGCATTTTCGAGACCACTTTCGGAACTTGTAACGACTAAAAAAAATATAATCTTTTAAGTTAACAGTCATAAACATGTTAATTTAAAGATTAAAAAGATTGTTGATTGCGTTATAAGTATTAGTTAGAGAAAAAATAAAAATATGTGCCGTCTACTCTTTATAAATAGATCCAGAGTTAGCTTGGATCACCTTTAGATTTGTTTCTCCGTCGAGATTGGATGTCGTGACATAACAACATCCTGGAGTCTCGCTATAAAGTAGAACGAGATCACATGGCACGTCCTCATCCCGAGAGACTTTTACAAAATCACCTACCACTATTTGTTCGCAATATATATCCTGTAAATATTATATATTATTTACGCATCAAATGTATAACGACAAATATTAGCATAAGAATTTCACAATCGTTTGAAATATTTTCCATTTTATCTTTAACTTCATGAAAATTTCAGGACATTGCATTAAAACATATAATAGAATAAATATTTGTAAATATAATAAAAATATTAATAAAGTGTTTAAAATATAATGTTGGATTTTTTTTAAATGCAATTTAGCGTGTGCAACGAACCTGCGTACATTTGTTGCGGATTACATTAACAGGTCTCCGGTTATCGCGTTGATCTGTCTTGTAACGCAAATAATCTTCGTATCCCTGTTTACAAGCGGTCACAAGAATAACGAATGATAAAGGCAGTGCGCTGGTTACGGGCGAAATGGGTGACTCTATTGAAATTGCGATTATTGTCGTTAGCAGGAAATAACAATTCGCTACTCGTCGGAACTGTTCGAAGAAATTCTTTGGAATGAAGTTCCATATTGTGTACTGTAGATTACAGAGATAATATATGATTAATATCAATATATTCAGATCTATGCAACAAATTTAAAAATAATGATAATTATTTTAAGCTCTCAGCAGAATATAACGTTTAAGTGCTATAATATTTTTTAAATAGAATCTGAATATATTTTTTTTAATATTAAATATTTTAGAGTAAAATATAAAAAAGAGAAAACACGCGAAATACATACCTTATGCGATATGACACGATTGCTGGTAAAATGTGTATCTAATGGATCGTTCGTAGGATTAATATTCACGATTCTGTGATCGTTAAGTACTGATGATGTACCACCCTATATAGAAACATAAAAAAAGAAATATTTATCAAGTAAACTAGCACAACATATTGTGAACGCAGTAAAAATAATTCCATTTGTTCGTTTCGTTTTATCAATTAAAAAAATTATTTTGTTTTATCAATTAAGAAAAACTTCAAAAAATGACCCGACTTTAATTACAAATCTGCTTGCGCAGTTTTTTTAGAATCCTTTGTAATTGTTTGTAACAATCGCAATTGAAATTTATATTGATGATGGAGAAAGCATATTTGAAAAATCTTTAAAATTGACAAAAATTACTTTTGATAATTTGTTTAAATAATTGCAATTTTTAAACCGTGCAACTATTGTATAAACGTAACAAAAATCACTACAAACAACTACGATTATAAAAAGACTGTGCAAACAGATTTGAGATATCTTAAAGTCGGATGCTTTTATTTTTTAAATTATTTTTACTTTTTAATTGATTGTAAACGAAATGCTATTTTCTATATCAAGAAATTAATTTTTTGAAAGTCAGGTGCCAGATTCACATAGGTGAATACACGACTATTTTAAGTTCGAGTAAGTCTTTAAGCAGAGATAGATCGATATCAATCTTAAAGCGAAAGAATTAAAACAATGATCGCCCCACTTTAAGATATTTCAAATCCGCTTGCGCAGTCTTTTTTAGAATCGTTTGTAATTGCTTGTAATAACAATAATTTTGTGTGTTTGTTTTATTTGTTGATTTTACCAATAATAAATTATGAAGAAATTATGTCCCTTTCTAAAAAAGGCATGCAAAGTCAATTCTCGCAAATATTGTTATCTCTTTTTCGCGATGCTAATTTTCGCGCACGCTTGTGTATATTTTCTAATATATTATAAAATTATATAATTATAATTCCCCCCAATGGGTACACCTTGACGTGGTGGGGTGGCTCTAGTACCTGGATGAATAATCATTTTTATTTTAAAGAATTATTCTGAATGGGAAGCAAAGTACCCAAAATACATGTCATGGTTATGACATGTCTTTTTTTAATATTTTTATTATCGAATGGAGGACTAAAAAAAGAGCACGTTTAATAATATGAAAAACATTAATAAAATGGTTTTCTCCTTTAGATAATATAAAATATAGAAATAAATATATGTGACATACTTTTCTATACTTGACCTAAAATTAGGTAAAAAAAATAATTAAAAATACAAAAAAACATAACATTATTTATCGCATTAAAGCGAGAGACGTGAACTTGATTTCAAGTCCAATTATCCGAAAACAAAGATTAATCGCGAATTCTAATTACAACCGTGAATACGGGTCTTAGAAGTCGAAAATTAATCGCGATCAAAAGTTACGATGACGTAAAGTAATACCGTATATAAAAAAATTATCTGTTTGTCTGATTTGCTCGCAAAATTCTTCAAAATTGCTCTCAACTTCCTATTTTTCGCACGTGATATCACATCTCTGGCACTCGTCTGTGCTGCAGTTATAAATGGGGGGCAATGTATACGAAACTACAACCTTATCAAAGTATACAATCCGTCACGTCATGTTTATATCAGCACCTCGTACGCTATCAGTATTGGAAAAATCCTAGACACAAAAAAATCTACTATCCTAAGGATATTCCTAAATCTACTATCAAGCAATTTCATAAGACCTTAACGTGCCGTGAACGCGACAGTAACAATGGTGATAGGACGGATAACATACTTAACATGAGTAACAGCCAGTACTTGGATTACATGTACAAGGCATGGCTCAAGGACCAGAAATCTGTGAGCTCCTCATGGGATTTGTATTTCAAATTAATCCACACCAAAAGCTCGAGGGATTCTCGTGATAAATCCAACTCGATTCGCGTCACTTCGTCCTCTAAGTTAATGTCATCAAACTTAGAAGGAGGACAATCGAATAGTGAGTCTACTTTAATGAGTTCTATTTGAGAGTTATATATGTATATAATTGTTTGATAGATTGTTTTTAAAGATTAAAAGTTGTAGCCAGAATTAGTGATATTAAAATCAACAAATAATATTGATCTTGATTTTATCATAATTTACATATAATGTATTGTAGAATAATAAAATTATATTTTAAAGATTTTTTTATCTGTCTAAAAATGAAGAAATGTTATTAATATTAGGATGTTATATTTATATTATTGTTTAATGTGTAACTTTTACGTGTATTTATAGTAACAGAGATTTAATTTAAAAAAGTAATAATATTTTATTAATTTATATTTATCAATTTGTTAAAATTTAATATAATTGTAATTTATAATATATATACATATATATATTTGTTTGATTAATATTTATATTCTATTATTTTATACAAAAGTAATATGCATTCAGCGTCTACGCTAAATGCATATATTTTTAATTGTTAAAAATTGTTTCGATCATAGTTTAATTGTAAATTGTTTCGATAAACTAATTAATATGTCTCATCAATCATACACATACGATTTTCTCGAATGCTTAACAGCAACATTGCCAAAAAAATCCCAGGAAATTCCGGGAAAATCGGACAATGATCAGATGCAGGGGGATCAATTTATAATCAGCGCACTTAATATCAATGATACGATTCGCGCTTATCAGGTAAATTCTTTCTTGCTTACAAGTTCGCAAACCTGCGTTGTATTATATATACAGTTTTCTTGTACGTATATAATATTGAGACTTATTTTATTCACTCAAGGCACGTGGTCATCTTATAGCCGACACAGATCCGTTGGGCATACAAAATCCAGAGTCAGCGAAGCTACAGGGCACTGCGAATTTGCCACCGGAGATTGTGGTGCGACATCATCTCAAGGGCATGACGGAAGCGGACATGAACAGAGAATTCCCTCTCGCTTCTCTAACTGTTATCGGTGGTGAGAAAAGGAGTTTACCATTGCGAGAGATACTGATGAGACTCAATAAAATCTATTGCGGTCATCTGGGTCTGGAATACACGTACATTCACGATCTCAGTACGGTACGCGCGTTTCAGATTAGAATTTCACTCTCCTGGGATATATCTGAAAGTATACACTTTGTACTTGAACGTGCGATATCTCGCGACAGTATAAATACTGTGCGATAACAGATTAGATTGAGAAATCTTGCTATTGTGGTATTTCATTTGTATACGGTAGTAAGTTTCTATATATAAAATAGATAAAGTTGAAAATCAAATTTTAGCTCTGCAATTAATACGAGCCGGAAATATATATTAAAATTTAAAAAAAAAGAAACTTGAACTTTTTAAAAAATAATTGTTCAAATTGTATTTCGAGAATGCGAAGATTTCAGTTATCATTTAATCAAATAATTTCTCATTTTTGTAAATATTAATAGAAATAATTTTATGATTAGAGAGATATATTTAATAGGCGTTATTTGAATTCACAGGTTTTACAGAAAATGTCGCATAGAGTTATGAAATATATTGAACATGCATTTTATCAGTTAGATTGGTTGAGGGAAAAGTTTGAAATACCAGGCGCCTGGGAATTGCCCGCGGAACACCGGAAGTGGATCTGGATGAATATCATGAGAGCCGTGAGTTTCGAGAGTTTTTTAGCGAAAAAATATGGAACGGAGAAGAGATTCGGATTAGAAGGTTGCGAATCGTTTATACCGGCCATGGCGGAATGTATAGAAACATCGGCGTTAAATGGTGATAAACAAATTGTCAAAATTGTCTTAATCGACAGATGAATTCAAAGCTGATATATATTTTTAAGCTTTTATAAAATAATACATTTGCTAGGAGTGGAAACTGTAGTAATTGGAATGGCACATCGCGGTCGTCTGAATACTTTGGTAAACATATGCTCGAAACCGATGAGTCAGCTGTTCACTCAGTTTAATCCGATTGCACTGGAAGGATTCGGTTCTGGAGATGTCAAATATCATCTTGGGACGCATTCGGAGAAATTATTGGAGAGGTGAAAATTATATCAGGTTGTCTAAAATTGATTTATAGCATTAATATATATGGATATGTCAAACATCAATTTTTAAATTTGTTTTTTGTCGTTTATTTTTTAAGCCTCGAAGTAAAATTTGCGACATTTGTTATATCGTTGTTTATTTATATCGATTTGTAGAACTAAGAAAAAAGTGTTTCTTGCTATAATGGCAAATTCGTCCCATTTGGAAGCGATCGATCCAGTTATAGTCGGCCGAGTCCGCGCCGAACAAATCGAGAAAGGTGACGCTAAACGTATGTACCGACACGAATGCATAATCAACTATACATATAATCGATGATAGCATCTTTCATGAAATAAACTAACTTATTTTAGAGGGCAAGAGATCATTGGCTATTCTGGTTCATGGCGATGCCGCTTTTGCTGGTCAAGGTGTCGTTTATGAAACAATGCATCTCACCAATCTACCGGAATATACGACGGGCGGCGTCATGCATATTGTAATTAATAATCAAGTAAGAATCAATAACGACAAACTTTTTAGAGATAATTTTACAAATATTAATCAGAAAATTCTAATCTTCTTATTATAATAAATCAAATTTTATTCAAATTTAAGTATTTTTTATGTAGTTTTTAGTTAGGAAGAATAAAATATAAAGATAAATTAAAGTATTAATCTTAATATTAGTAAAATAGATAATATTTAAATACATAATTATAATAATTATAAATATGTATAATATTGTTATGAAGATTTTGTATTATCTCTTTAATTTTTCTCTAAAATTTTTAAAATTAAAAAAATTTTTAATTATTTAAAAATTTAGATAATTATTTTGAATATTAAATTATAATTTTAAAAAATTATTCAATAATTAATAACTTTAAATAATTATATAAGTAGAAATTTAGCACACAATATATTTTTAAATATTTATAAATTTAATTTTAGATTGGTTTTACAACCGATCCAAGATACTCTCGATCTAGTGCGCACTGTACGGATGTAGCTCGCGTTGTGAATGCTCCTATTTTTCACATACATGCTGATGATCCCGATTTAGTGACTTACTGCAGTAAGGTGGCCGGCGAATATCGGTAAATCGCGATATAAATAATATTTAATTTCTAATCTTCACGTCGTCTTTCAATGAAAGATTGCTTTTGAAGTCAAAATTGAAAAAAATTGGAGGAGATATTTAAAATACCAAAATTCGAAAAATTTTTGATAAACAGAACTTTAAAAAAAGGAAAGAACAGCGAAATCTTTATAGAGTTAATTTTTATTAAAGTATTAAACATTATATTTTATATCAGAGCCACCTTTCATAACGATGTAGTATTGGACATCGTCGGATATCGAAGACAAGGGCACAGTGAGATGGACGAGCCGATGCTAACTCAACCGCTCATGTATAAACGCATAAAAGCTCATCCCAGTGTTCTCTCTATATACAGTGATAAGCTCCTTAAAGAAGGCGTGATAACGGAGGCTTTTGCAAAAGAAGTTTGGATAAACTTCGCAATTAGATTATTTAATCCTTATCTCTGACCTTGTCTTTTATACACATCAGTTTCCCTTGTGGATAGGAAACGGAGAAGTACATAAATCATTGCGAGGAAGAGTTTAGAAAAGCACAGACCATTAGCTCGATGCAGATGAGCGATTGGCACGATATACCCTGGACCGATTTCTTTTCGAATCAGAGTCCGAAAAATATCATACCTCTAACTGGTATCGATTTAACAACTATCAAGACGATATGCAATGCTATATCCATTCCACCGAAAGATATCGAGACGCATGTTCAAGTTAGTTGTGAAATACAAAAATAATATTAGAATTTGGCCACATCTCCAAAACTAGCCCTATGTTCAACTTCAAATTTTTCAGGGATTAATGTCCCATCATATAGCATTGTTTGGCATAGAATTCGATTTGAATTTCAAGGTCCGCAAAACAGGCTAAAAACCGCTGTTTTTAGGGTCACTCTTTCTGAATTCACAGAATTTCAGCCTAGAATTATATTCTCTCTGATTGATTTAATATTTAATCAATTTGATCTAAATAAAAGTTTATGTGTACGTAGGTACTGAGAGCGATGGACAGACGAGCAAAACTCATGGAATCTCGGAAAATTGATTGGGCAATGGGGGAATGTCTGGCTTTCCTCAGTTTGTTGAAGGAAGGTCATCACGTTAGACTGTCCGGGCAAGATGTCGAGCGTGGCACCTTCACCCAACGTATACATATTGTTCACGATCAGAGCAGAGACAAGATCTACAAGAATATTCTGCACGACGTTTTTCCCAGGCAAGCTTTGTACACGGTTACGAATTCGTCGTTATCGGAATACGGCGTGTGCGGTGAGTGAGGTTCAAGGAAAAATTGATTAACATTGCATCAGTAAACGTGACGATAACAATATCTATATTCACAATCTGTCTCTTATTCACATGTTATCGATAATATGTGTTTATCTATCTTCTCGTACATTAGATTAACATATAGGTGATTAAGTATAGATTATTTAACACGAAATATGAAATTGTTAAAGTTCACAAGAGCTGCAAGCTTGTAAATTTGAGACAAGCGTGAAATGCAGCAAATATTATAGTATAAAGATATTAAAATTTAGGATTAATTCAAACTCCTTTCGGAGTTTAATTAAAACAGATAATTCATGATATATTATGATAATTAATATTTAATGAATGATTGACGAGAAAAGGTTTCGAATTGGGATATTCTGCGTATAATCACAACTCTCTTACACTCTGGGAAGCACAGTTCGGCGATTTTGCCAATACCTGTCAGGTAATTTATTATCACTATATTTTTCTTTCTAATAAAAATTTGAGATAATTAATCTGCATAAGCATGATTTGATTTCAAATATATTTTAATTAGATTTTCGGTAAAATTTTCAAACTCTTTGCACAAGATTCTTCGATCGCATTTATAGTTAGTTTCTGAAGATGACCGAAATCGCGATATTTCATCGAGAATACTAATCAGCTAAATTGATCTTCAGGTCATACTAGACTGCCTGTTATGTTCCGGACAAGCCAAATGGGGCAGACAGGTGGGATTGGTGCTGCTGTTGCCGCACGGTATGGAGGCCCAAGGGCCGGAACATTCGTCCGCCAGATTGGAGAGATTCCTTCAGCTATGCGACGACGAGTGTACTCACGTGCCCGGAACGGAGTCCGGCGCCTCCGCCGGCGAGACTGTCGAGGAGATCATAACTAGGCAGCTTTACGAGATAAATTGGATCATCTGCAATCCCTCGACACCTGCCAATCTGTTTCATCTTCTGCGTCGGCAGATATTAATGCCGTTTCGAAAACCGTTGGTTCGTCTGTGTAATGTAGTGTCTTTTGTCACAAGTCTTTTTTTAGATGGCAATATACTTTATAAGTCTTTTAGAAAAAAATATGCATTTAAGCAAAAGTTGCAAGGTTTGGAAAAAAAAATATATATATATATGTATGATCGCGAACCGAAAAAAGATAAAAGGAATAACATCAAAACAAAAATTATATAAGTACGGCTTCTTGATGTAAATTTTATTTAATAATTGATTAATGATTTTCAACAGTTTTCTATTTATTTGTTAAATATTTTATTATATCTGAGAAATCTGTCTTGTAAATGTAATCGAACAAATTGATCAATTGATATAAATTTTTAAGGAGAATGAGTATTGTAGTAAAACTATAGTTGCAAAATATTTTCTTCGAACTTTACAACTTTTGCTTGAAACTTTTTTGCTAATCTTAATACTTTCGTAAATATTAGCTCATTGATATCATTGATAACATTAATATTGAATATTCAACTAGCAGCACATAAAATTGTTTCGCGTGATTCACGAGATGTCATATTGCGGTGGACGAAAATTGACGAAACGTTTCCCAGAAACGTTTTCTGATTATACTGAATATTTAATATATGCATTTAAATGCATTTTATCTGTATCTTCCACTTTTTGTCGATATGTATATATATAATGATAGCATATATATATAATGTCGATATATATAATGATAGCAATATATATGATAGCAGAAAACCTTTTAAAAGACCCTCGCGTCTTAAACGTGATTAATCTAGTCACGACACAATTATATCATTTATATCATTTCAGTTTTTTCGTGAGGTATAATGTTAGTCCTTCAATTTTTATCACACACAATTCTCAAGAATTCGATTATTTTATATTGAATTTATTTGATCATAAAACAATTTTAGCTGAGAGCTTACTCATACTTTTTAAAACTTGCTCGTAAAATGATACACGTGAGAATTTTTGTTTCCAATTTCTGTTTATTTGTTATAATATTATAAAGCATTTTAAATTTTGTCAAATTTGAAACATGATTTTCCTGCTGTTTAGATCCTTATGACCCCTAAATCATTGCTACGTCATCCAATGGCGATATCGAATTTTGAGGAAATGGGACCAGGTACAACTTTCAAGCACATTCTACCGGATCTTTCCGTGAATCCCGGAAACGTGAAGAAAGTATTGCTTTGTACCGGGAAAGTGTATTATGATTTGATCGTCGAGCGTCAAGAGAGACAAGTGGAGGATAAAATAGCGATTATAAGAATCGAGCAGCTCTGCCCTTTTCCATATCACCTTCTCGCGGCGGAAATGAAGAAATTTCCACGAGCCAAAGTGAGAGTTTGATATAATAATATGCAATTTTTGAATTGAATTTGAAACATCTGTTTGTGTCTAATGGCAAAAAGAATTCCGATTATCGCAATATGTTAATAATAAAATTAAATGTGTTTGTGCATAGATCATGTGGGTGCAAGAGGAGCACAGGAATCAAGGTGCTTATTATTACGTGAGAGATAGGATAGCCTTGACATTGAGAATTCCATTAGAGGATGTGAAGTATGGCGGTCGTCTTGCTTCTGCTGCGCCAGCCACCGGCAGCAAGATTATTCATAAGAACGAATACGATAGTATGATGACAATGGCGATGAGTCTCGATTAATTATATAAAACCATGGTAATGTAATAACTTTCTTATTTAAAAAAAAAATATAAAGGTATTTATTGAAATTATATTAGAAATATTATCAGTGGTATAAGAAATATTTACGTGTATTATGTACAAATATGAGAAATCAGAGAGATAGTGTATAAAAATCTACTTCTTTTATAAATAATCTTTTTATATATAGTTTTTAAAGAGTCTATTATCTATTTATTTAATAATAAATAAATAGATAATAGATTGTTAATGAATTGTTATTATCTATTTATTTAATAATAATATTTAATAAAATTTAATAACGAAAATAACGTCTTAATAATTAATTTTGATTACAGATTTTTTAAAAAATTTACGCAATTGACTCACCAAATTCAACAGACATAAATATTCAGCACTTTCTTGCGTTGCGTACGAAAAAGTTCTTTTACTCAAACAATTCCACATTACATTCTACGTTATTTCTATCGCGAAATGTTTCATATAAGCACGAGTTGCGTGAACGTTCGACATAGGACTAAACGTTGATTAAGTTGGGATGATAATGTTACCGTCCCTGGTAGAAAAAAATTTACACCTCGGACAAAGGCCACGGTCGTTAAACGCGACTTCAATAACTTCCTCTATATAGTCAACTAACAATAATAGTATTGTCTTTGCCTTAAAGTAGCATTTTTTTGCGTTGTACCAAGAAATTAGATTCAGCGAAAAATCTTATCGCGTTTTATGCGCATTCTGAAAATAACATTTTGTTAAACTGAAGGAGCGGTTGCGATAAACCTTTATCACATTGAACGGCTTCAAACTTGCTCGGTATCTTCAATCTTTGCGGTCTTATTCATTCAAGAATAAACTTCGATTATACCGGAATTATTACTGTTTATCACGTTTTAAATCGGAAGTTTGTACAACGCAAGCTACGTTACGTCACACTATGACGTCACATTTTCGAATAAAAATTTCATCTACTCTCGCGAATTGTATTAATAAATTATATAATTTACATAGTTGAACAAAAGATAAATGATTCAAATAAAAAAAATATATTTATATAGATATTACTTGTTAAATTATATGTTCAAAAAATCTGATAACGAATAAATACTTCAGAGATAAGATAGCGTGAAATTAAATAATGTTTGTTCAAAAATTTTAATAGTTTTTCATGTATCTTATACGTCTTACCATATCGCTGTCTTGAAGATGCTCAAATTTCAGCAACAAGAAAGGACTTCTTTACCTATTTTGACTTTTACACACTTTTGTTCGTTATAAGAATTATGCACTTTATCGTATGTACAAATCGTGTTCTCACTATCACTGAATATATTTTTCAAATGTCACTCAATGTATTTCTGTGTGTGGTTCTTCATTAAGATGCACTTTTAGTCTAATTATTATTTTCTTGATTTTGTTGCAGCAGTTTACCATTGGACTAATGTCTACGAAATTGTTCATGCAGAAAACGCTGTAAACAAATTTGCGTACTCACTTACTTGAATATTCATGCATTAAAAAAGAAACATTTTTATTGTATACATGTGCAAGTGATGTTTCATACAATGCATGTATATGTATACACAGTTAAAAAAAGCAATATTAATAATCATTGAAAATTACTTTAATCATCAGCAATAAAATAATTATCTCAAGAACGAATCACGGTATCAAATGTAAATGAAAAATTGTTTAATTTTTATATTTTAATTAATAATAATTATTAATTATTATAATAATTATTATAATAATTATTATAATTATTATTATAATTATTATAAATAATAATTAATAATTACTTAATTACACACACGCAATATATGAAACAAAATTGGAACATATATAATATATATAGTTATCGTTATCAATTAATATGATAATATCTCGCTATTTTCTAATCGATTGTTGCGCGAGATGTATTGACGTTCTCATCATTAATAGTATATCTTTCACTTACCTTAAAAGTTTTTTTTATTTCCCAATTAAGCGCGCTGCTGGTCGACGGTATTTCCCCGTGAGCGAAAACCAATTATTCGCTGCCTATCGTCCAAGGGAGACCGATACTGAAATACTCCGATCGTGACGACGGATAAGAAAATCTTATCAAGCATTTTGCGCACCTACCTCCATATCGTTCATTAGCGATTATAAGTACGAACTGTCGCCTATCGTAAACAGGACAGATAAGCCAGCGTAAAATTAAAAAATCCTGATCATCGCTCATTTTCCCAGTCAATGCTGGTCGCTCGTATCGGTTGAGAAACAGATTTAGCTTTAATTAGATTTCGAAGATTTATACTATGTAATAATAAAAGCATTCAAGATAATATAAAACGGTGTTTACAGTTTATATAGAAAGTTGAGATCATTCTCCATCTTATCATTTTTTTCTCTGTTGAATATTAACTAGCATATGTCACATGATAAAGGAACGTTAATCTAGTCAAATCGTTGGGCTATCCTTTTATTGAATGTGGTGATAATGTGATTATTTTTAACTTTTTTATAGCTCTATTTTATCTATTTGATTCATCATACCTATAATTTTATAATTACAGATCCGAAAAGTGGACCATTGGAATAGCTTTTTTGTTTTGTAAAACGATAATTATATTGTGCGTTGGTCAGTAAAACTATAAAAAAATTAGTTACAGCTTTAATGAAATTAGTTACAGCTTTAATAAAATTTAAAACAATATGAAAAAAATTAATAAAGGGCAAAAAATTATAATAGAATAGTTCTTCGTTTTAAAAATGAATCTTTACAAACACGTGAACAACAATATTGTACCGATAAAATATTTTATTTACTATCAGTATTTAATAATTTCAGAACTATTAATAAGTAAAAGTAAATTTAAACATAAACTAATAAATTTCTCATTTACTTTTAACTAATTTAAATCTAGATATTAAATCGCATTAAAAATTAATAGAACTTTTATGCGTATATCAAATTGAGTATACTGCATGCTATTTATAATATTAATAAATTGTAATATTCATTGTACACATATATTGTAAAAATATGTTTAAGATACTTTTCATTCCTTTAAAATGAGCGTTTTAAAATTAATATTATTTATCCATTAAGAGGGAGAATAATATTCCGTATATTTTTAATCAATAACCATGATATGCGCGCGAATACACGTAGACGCAGCGTGTTTTCAAATACCGGAAATACCATGAAACTACATGATTCTATTTTTCATTCTTTTATTCCTTATCGCACATTCCGCGCGAAATGTCAAACAGGTATATGATGAAGGATCAGAGAGGAAGAAAAAAAAGAGCGGAAAATAAAATAAATGACTGGGAAAGTCCTGCTAATAAAGAAGAATGAAATATCTCGCATGAAAGCGCGAGACGACAGCGTCTGCTAGGTTGCGCCACCGCGCATGCGCAGAGAGACTCCTATCTGGGTACCATCCGCTCACAGCTGCCCAGTCGGGCAGTATGGCGGCGGACAGCGTGTAGGAAGGAGCGTGGCTCGTCGATATTGCGTAATCGCAGAGTGGCAAGCAAGCGGTATCAGAGCGGAGGGATCTGTCGCGTGCGAAAGGAAGGAAGGCGCGCGAGAAGGATTGTTTCGGGGACGAGTGGCGCTACGACAGTCCGACGACAGTGCCTGCCGCGGATCAGGAGATATGCCGCCGAGTGGAGGCGCGCATTGCTAACGTCGGCGAGGATGCGAGCACGATTGTCACCGGACACGGATCGGTAACGAAGGCGAACGGCGAGCGGCCCGAGAGCGCCAGCGCCAGCATCAGCAACAACAGCAACGGCAAGAGCAGCAGCAACAACAACGTCTCGTGGAACATGTCGGCGATCAAGGGTAGCGGTACGCCGGGCGCGCCGCGCCAGCTCAACGTTCTGAGCAACTTCAAGTACGAATACTTCGTCGCGGGCATCTCAGGCGGCGTCGTCTCGACCCTGATGTTGCACCCGCTGGACCTCATCAAGATCCGATTCGCAGGTGAGTCACGCGCGCGTTGACGTGAACGCGCTCGCAAATATGGCGGCTCTCTGTTTCATCTCGTCTCGCCTCCCGCGTCACGGCTGTAACACGTGGTCTAGGCGGCTGTCTCGTGTGTCAAGCATGCGAGCGTCCGACAAACATTTTTTCTTGCCTTTCTTCTCTTTTCCAGCGAAATTCATCGCGAGAGAAAGCATGAAACGTTCGCTGCTTGGAAATATATACGTAGAAGTATATTTAAAATATTTTATTTATGGGTACGTCATGTGTTATGCTTGTACGTTCTTTCTTTATATATTTCTTTGTAAAAAAAAAGGCAAGTGCGAAATTAAACAGACGATTTTTTGTCCGAATCAATGTCATACTAAATATGTACCAGAAGCACGTGGCTAACACGGTTCTTTCCTCTTATTTATATTTATTACACTATGAATTGAAATGTCACATGTTAAGTAAATGGCAGAAAGTGCTTTTTATGTATATCTGAAATATTTTTTGTCTTAATCAATATCAATGAATGTGTAGAAAATCGTTATACTTTCACCGGAAGCACGTGGTTAACGCGTTTCTTTTTAACTCTACATTTTCAGATAGACTATGAATTAAAATGTCATATGTTAAGCAAATCACAGAAAATGTATACCCAAAATTTTTTTTCATTTTTTTCTTCGTCTATGAGAGAACACACGGTTACTTTCTCTTTCTTAAATTATCTTATTTTTTAAAGAGAAATTATTAATTTATTTTAAAGATTCGATTATTTGTATTGTATCACATTTAATTTTTGAAATCCTGAATCATATGGAAGATATAATAATATTTGAAAAATACTAGTTTTATTGTTATTACAATTTTAATCTGATTCAGTTTCTTATATTCTGTAAAATTAATTTGGAAGTAATATTTATGTTTCACAGAAAGCTTAATTTTTAGAGTATTTAATGTTATATTTAAAAGTAATTTTTAAATCATTATCAAATTCTATTATTGTAAAACTAGCTAATTATATAATAATAGCTAATATAAAGTAGAGGTTGGATAAACTAATCTTAAAAAAATTAATAGATTTTTATAAATTTTATTTTAAAATTTAAAAATGAGTTGAATGTTTCGTAACAATATTTCTTTTAAAAGAGCCAAAATATTATGTATTCTGATTTATGAAGTGTTGCAATATATAAGATGAACTTTTGTCGTAAAGGCGATGATTGTAGAATTTTACGAGTCAACCGTACATAATTTATCGCAACACTAAGAAAAATAAGAAAGAATCAGTTTAACAAAACAACGTAGAGAGATTGCAGGTTGAGCTGATATTTTCCGATGTTTTTCTCTTGTGTAAATAAATTCGCTGTAAATTAAAAACATAATCACGATATGTTTATCGAGTTTCACTTTTCGTCGTGCGCAAATAAAAATGTTAAAATTGGAAAGTTCTCGATCGCGAACATTTGATTTTGTGCTACTTGAGATCGATACGCCGTACATCATGATCACTAGAAAATAGAATATTTGAATATTTTTTACGTTTAAAATATAAAAAAAAAATATATATATAAATTAAAAAATGTATAAATTACGTTCTACATACATATTTTTTATCTTTAAAGTCAAGAGAAAAATACCGAAAAATGTTTCTGAGATGTTGAATTCTGTGTATATTCTCGTCAGCAATTGATACCTTATTATGGGTGATATTTCATTTATGATAAATTTCTTTATTTTTACGAAATAGTATATATGATATGGCAGTTTTTATTGAGCTTGCACGGATTATTGATTATTTTTTTGCTGACTATTTAGCACAATAATTTATATACATAAGATTTAGATTAGATAGCTTTCACACGTGTTGTTGTCTGCGAGCTTTTTGTTCAGTGATGATATCATTCTAGGTTAATGTTCTACGATATTTAATATCCGCATGACGACTGTCTGAGTGCCTATTAACTCGTCTATGCGATATAACGAAATTGCTTTTAAACGATAGCGTTGCATCTTAAGATAATTCTACGCGAAACGATATGAAAGGGATTACATTATTTTTCTACATTTTTTTAGATTAAATTTTAATATTTCGTTTCCCAATATCTCGTTCAAAATGAATTGGATATCCATATAACAGCTAAAATATCTAATTACACGGGATAAAATCTCGATATTGAAATACCGATGGCATTCTTCTCTGCAAAGAAAAAATAAATCAGTGATTAATTACATCGATAACAGATTTTTTCTGCTATTCTAATTTATTCGCTTTATTTGAATATTATCATGTGATAGATTTGATGGTAAGTATTTCTCTAGTCTATTTTATTAATGTAATAATTATATACGTGTAATTAATTAATAGAATATTGATGAGAGAAACAGTAGAACATTGGTATAATCAGTATAATCATATATCGTATAATTTATGTTATCATTATAAATTAAATTCAGCTGTGTTTACATAAGAATAAAGATATTTATTTACGGAAACGGAGACAAAGAAAGCGGACAAGGCACTTTAAGTTATCTACATATGGTGATATGAAGGATATATGATAAGAACGAAAAGATTATAGAGTTTTATTTCTTTATTGAAAGGAAATATCACCTAAGCGAAATATTGGAGAAAGTAAAACGCTAAATTAAGCTCATAATAATAAGCGTGATGAAACGTTTCTCTGAAAAAATGTCTGACGTAAGACAGTCGTGTTCCGATAAATACACGTTATCGTTTTAGAAAATCAGATACGTAAATATGATATTCAATCAACAATTCAATCGACATTAATAAAACGAAACGTTTGAAACATCTTTCAGAGAAGTGTTTGAAACGTCATCAGGAAGCTTCGAAATTTGAACGGATATTTCGTCAGATTTATCTCGAACTCGTAGAGATGTCAAGCTATTTGCTGAGACAGTCTACGTTCATCACGTGCTATCGATATCAAAGTTTACTTTCGTAAAATGTCTTTTGCTTCATATACGCGATGATCGCGATACAATAATGATTACATAATCATCACATGTCTACATTTAACCGCATGACCTATTTCTTTCGTCATAAATACACATTTTACACTAATCAAATCTCTACATTTTTATTGTTCTTTTTCTTTATAAATAAACTAAATTTGTTAATATTTTTCATCGTAATAGTATTATGAGAGATACAAGTAAATATTATCGACATTTTCCTCATATCCACGTAAAGATATCTATTTCATAATCATTTATTTTTATGTTACGTCAATGGTTATGATGTCAATCGATTGATTTCTGTTTATGTGTTAAATGTGAAAACAGCACAATTACCAAACTTTATCGTTAATTCTTCGCGGTGAATATATTATAGAATTTTTTTTGTAAAAAAGAATGTGATAAAGTTATCACACTTACAGTTAATCTTAGCGATAAATTGTACGTGAGCTTTTTTTAAAAATAAAATAAACGAGTTTTTTTTCCTGCATTCTAGCGAATTATCTTTGTAATTGAAAATTATTAAATTTAATTACTTTAACGGTAGCTATGTATTATATTATGGCGTAGGTAAATATCAGATTATTAAATTGTTTATTATTTGATTATAATTTTTAAAAAATATTTTTGAATACATACATATGTATTCAGTTTTTCCTGTGTTTTAAAAGCTGTGTTTTTGTTCTTACGTGCTGGCGTCTGTCCAACATGTAATATTTTGCCTATATAACGATTCTTCACTGGCTGTGAGATCACAAACGAGTATCTAAACATACACACATACACATACTTACAACAAAAGTTCGCGGAAACGAACAGAAATATTAAATGCGTCAGAAATAGTTCTGTAATGATACTTAACATGAACAACTGTTTTAAGAAATTTTCGCGTGCGTACCGATATAGAGACATTATTTTTTTTTCATGTGCCATTTACCGCACGTCAAACTAGATGAATTGCTGTTTTGAATAACGGTGTTTCCTGACACTCTGTGAATACAATCGGCTTTTGTTTATTCATATTTTGATTGTTCGAGAAATTCGACTTCCGTGTTGAGAGGTTGATAATAATTAATGGATCACATTTGAGGACTTTTTTGCATCTATTTTTATCCGCTTTAGACATTAGAACCAGTTGATGTTGGTCAGCTAAAGTTGTGTAACTTAAACGAAATAAAGCCTGCGAAATGGGATAAGGTCAGAAAAGTTTCTCCTCATGTTCAAATAATTTTGGTTCGATAAAGTTGTCACATTTGGATGAGGATACAATATGCGTACTTACAATTAGTGCTAAATGCGGCGTAAAATAGAGCTGAATAAAACTTGTTGCGAGAAATACTGTAGTATTTTTAACAAAATATTCATTGGCGGTTCACCAAGCACTAAGTCACGCGAATTTCGCGAGTTGCGTCATTAGCACGTGATTGAATCGTCTTGTCGCGCATGTAATCAGAGAAAGACAGAGAGAGAAAAAAGTCTCGTTGATAGCTAATTTAAAATTCTTTGCCTTTATAAATTCAATAAATTTGACTATCAAATTAAATTTCACAGATACATTGATTTGTATTTTTTTCGAATATATGTATAAATATATACGAATTTCAAATTTACCTTAATATTTTTTTTAAATTATAGAATTAATACAAAAGTATATTTTTTATTTTTTTATACCGATAAATTACAGTTACATGAAAAAAGTATGAAATTTTTTCTTGCATTTTCTGAATTTTAAATATTGCAGATATAGATAACAAAGTAATTTTTATTTATCTAATTCTAATTGCATTCTATAAATATTTTCTATAGATGCAATTTAAGGTTTATTATATTAATAAATATGCCATGTTAAATATTAGCTATTTCACGTAAATTCTACGTTGTGTACAAAATAAATTTAAAATTAAATTAAAATATAACTTGATTGTTTGCTCGTTTTGCACGGTTTTCTAATTACTTAACATTATAATTTTTGATCGTAGAAAATACATATATAGCATATAAATACAATTAAAAATATAGCATATAAATAAAATTTTTATCAAGAAAGAAATGATTGCAAATTAATTAAGAGATTCGTAAAATTTCATCAGAAACATCTTGCATACGTAAGATTGGAATAGAATAATCTCTAGCCATGTGAAATCACCGTTATTTATGAAAGCGAAAGTAGATTGATTATACCTTGCGGCAGATGGTGATTATACTCTTTTTTGCTCTTTCTATCGTGACCTACCTTAGGATCGCGTATTTTCAAATAACATCACCATTAGCTTTGAATATAAAACGCTCTTTGTATAATAAATCGACATATATGTAAGATTTATATTTATATATTTATCTCATCTCTTATATTTCTCATTTGCTCTTTTGCAATTACATTTGATTTAGAAAAAAATAATTATATATAATATTTGTATTTTTTTATTATATTATGTATTACTAAATACCATATGTTAAATTGTGTACTATTACATTAGATTTCATAATATTTTATATGTATATGAGTCATTCAATGTCAATCGGGCCACCTTTCTGTCCAAAACAGATTGCAACTTGAACATTTTTTTAGGAGTGCAAAATTTATTTAAAAATATAATTTTTCGAATGCCATATATGCTAAAAATTCAGATACATAATGGCAAATCAAAAGATTATATTTTTAAGTAAATTTTGCATTCCTGAAAAAATTTTTAAATTGCAATCTGTTCTGGGCAAGGGATGGCCCGGTTGACGTGGAATGACTCATATACATTTATATATTTGAACTTTATATTATAAACTTTAATTAATTATATAAACTATAATTAATTATATAAACTATAAAAATCCAAGATATAAAAAATGTGCATAATATAAATTTGAAGTATTTATATTTCACAGAATTTGTGTGTCTTCGCGGATATAAATATATGTAAGAAGAGAAGTTCTCGGATATTTAAGAGGAGAACTTCTCGGAAAATAAGACATATCGCAAGACAGTATTGGTGCTTTCTCGCAATGAGACGAGATATGAAACTACTGCAATAATTAATGGCGAGTCGATATTCGATACTATGATATGCATGTAAATGTATATACATACGTTGACTATACATATATTATATGTGTGTGTTAAGAACGCATTCAAGCATAACATAAGTGCTGTTTATCTCCAGACGATGCATAGATAGTGATAGTTTAATTAACAGCGGAGATAAACGATGAACAAGTTGTAAACGCTACTAGTTATGACGCAGATTCTCGTATCAATAAAAAGTTATAAATGTATCATACGTAACGGGAACGTTGTGATAATTTTTACGAGAATAGAAGAATCTTCTCAAGTTGTACAGAACTTAATTTAGGTTTTATCTTTTCACAGTAAACGATGGTCACACGAGTTCAGCACCACGGTACAACGGACTCAGGAACGCCCTCGCTCAGATCGTTAAAACAGAGGGAGTGCGTGGACTTTATAGAGGAGTAACGCCAAATATTTTAGGATCAGGCAGTTCGTGGGGTTTCTACTTTTTCTTGTAAGTACACATAGTCGATTAATATCAATTAAGAATTTAGCGATAATATTATGCACATTTTTAACGCAAAATGATAAAATTTAGATGCGAAATCGTTGTTTATTCTTTATGATGTGACATTTTATATGCATATGCTGAATACATACGATATTTAATGTTCCAGCTACAATACGATAAAGACTTCAATTCAAGGTGGTAACTCAAAGAAACCGCTTGGACCGTCCATGCACATGTTTGCCGCCGCTGACGCCGGAGTACTCACTTTGCTTATGACTAATCCGATCTGGGTGGTGAAAACGCGGCTGTGTTTACAATATGCTGAAGACGTGAACATCGCAGAGTCCAAGCGGTACCGCGGAATGATAGATGCTTTAAGGAAGATTTACAAGACGGAGGGCATTAGAGGCTTATATAAAGTAAGCAAATGTTTTGTGCTAATTAAGCCGAGTTTTGAAACAAAATGAGAATTATTACGGTTTTATGACTAAACTTAGTTATAGTTGAAGTTATTATTAATATAACGGCGAAAGTTATATCGTACCGTTGTATTCTTTTAGGGTTTAGTTCCTGGATTGTTCGGTGTTTCGCACGGTGCTATACAATTCATGGTATACGAGGAAATGAAGAACAAGTATTATAATTACTTAAATGTGCCCATTGATACGAAATTGGTGAGTCGATTATATTTTTATATTTTTATTGAAGCTTTTAAGATGCAGAATATTGTGTGTCATATTTAATTTTTAATTCGTTGCTGTTGTCTTTTCTTCTGCTAATTTACATCTTTTATACAAAGAATATACATAGCGATATTAGCAATTCACGAAAATGACACCTTAAGCTGAAACTGGATGCTCATAAATTTAGAAAAACGGACAATATCTTATTGTATAATCTTTCGTACAGAGTACAACCGAATATATCGTCTTCGCCGCGATGTCCAAACTGATCGCTGCAGCGTCGACATATCCTTATCAAGTGGTGAGGGCACGACTTCAAGATCATCATCATGACTATCGGGGTACCTGGCATTGCGTTCAATGCACATGGAGGTCAGAAGGGATTAGGGGTTTCTATAAGGGCTTATCACCATACCTTTTACATGTTACGCCAAACATATGTCTGATTATTCTTATTTATGAGCATTTTACTAATGGCAGTTAATTTATGTTGACATCTTATTGTTGCAAATGTAAGAAAATTTTTTAGGTCAATTTTTTTAGCCTTCTACAGAGCGTAATATTTCGTCTGATTTGCCAAAACTCATAATGCAAGATGCTCACAAGTGTATATAATTTTTTCAGTGGTACGAGGCCATAGTACTCAATTATTTTTAGCTGAATATCACACGTTACACAACAAACTATTATTCAAATAGATTGCAATGCAGAATAGTTTTTGTTTCAAGAAAATTTTATTTTTAGAAAATGATTTTTATCTGAAGTATTTTGTGTAAGAGAGAAACTTGAAGGATCAGCTGAAACAATTATTATTAATAATTTTTATTTTATATAGATTTGATTTTAAATCACGTGACACGTGAGTATATATTTGACTCTTTCTAGTATGAAATGAAACTATGATATTTTCTATTATTTGTATCTCTATTAATTGATATTAGATTTGTTGAACAATGAAGAAAGAAATTGCTTAATATAGGAAAGCACTTTAAATAATTGCTTTTATTATTATCGTTTTAACTTCTCGTATAAATTGTAATTCAATAATCACTACAAACCGAGAAGTAGATCTTGAAACGGTAATAATTCGCGGCGTGTTGCATAAACGTATGCGTCTTATTTATTCAATCATTCATCGTTTCTTATTCAAGAATATTGAGAGACTGCGATAGTGTAGAACTGACAAAGAGTTAGTTTATTTATCGCTTAATTTATAAATTTGTTGCGCGGAATTTGTTATGGCTGATGTGTTTTACACGAGGAAAACTTTCTTATACAACAGCACAATGTATTTCAACTAAAGTGTCTTCTAATTGTATAAGAGGTTGTGAAACAAACGAATGTATGAGTATGATTATCTTCTGTTTGCTGAGACGTAAGATATTTGAATGTCGTCTAAATCCAATAATGAGACACATACAGTTTGGTTACGCGCATAAGTAAAGAAAAAAGAGAGCGAAGAGTATCGAAGTATAAACTAATTAATGCGCTCTTTGCAAAGAGCCATATAAAGAATACACCCAATTTATGTCATAAAAGACGGTGTATAATCTTGAATAGTTAAATTAATAACCAAATATTTACGTAATTATATGAATATATGTATGTCTGTATAATGCTCGAACTATTTTTGATGCATAATGTGTGCGAATCACATGTGTAAACTGATAATTTTTATTGCTCCGCTCGACTCGACGAGTTTTGGTACGGTTTTTAATTTAGACAATTTTCTTTTTAGCAAATGTATTAAAAATTCGCAGTCTATCTTTGTGTCCCTCTTTTTTTTTTATACATAAAGCGGCTCTCTAATTATTTATACATACCTCATTCTAAGTTGAATATAGAGAGTTCGCGACAGAATTTGCGAGGACCGTCAGAGAGTCTTGGCACTTGGAAAATACGATAGATAGCAATAAGTTTCTGTGCAATCTGTAAATAGTAGGACGAATTTATTTATATCAATTCCTTTAGCTATAAATCTAGTTAGAATCTGTCTTTCTTCGATAAAATAAAATAACACGCGAAGGTGCATACTTAAAAGCAACATTGTGACGATCTTAATAAAACAACACACACACACATATCGAATAATGTTTGTCATTAAATTAGCTACCGACTATTCTTCAGATTACGCTATCCCTAGATTTGATTTTTTCATTCTCCCAATTTCGCGCTATCGACATAGATTCTTATTGGCAGCTAAAGATGTCATTATATGTGATTTAGATTTTCCTAAGCCTATTTCGCATCGAAGCCATTTTATCGTCATTTACAGGAAAGAGCATGTAGAAAGGTATTGTGAATGCGTTTTTGACTATGTTACGTTATTTGTGCGGTAGTTTGTTAAGCCACCAGCAGTACGATTTTTGAACAATTATGATGATTATGAATTATTAATTATATAGGAGACATTTATCGTATTTTATATAAATTTATCATAATTAAAGAATGAAATAAAAGTAGACAATATTTTTCATTGCGCTGTTAATCGATTTGTTCAAGAGCTTGCGTAAGAGAAATCTTACGATTGAGATGTGTTAGAAAAAACATGTTGCTTTTTTTTAATTTAAACTTTTGCAGAATTATTGGAGCAGTAAAAGAAAGAGTGTTAGCTCTTATCTGGCTCCTCATGTGACATTGAATTTTCATAGTTGATTTCACGTAGCGTCAAGAATCGTACGCGGGTTAAATTAAAAGCGCTTTGTAGGATGCTTCGCATCTACAGTCTTTTTTTTGTAAAGCAAAGTAAAACAAAGACGTATTGCTGGTGGTTCGTTACAGGTATGAGGGTTGGCGTGGCTTTTACAAGGGTTTAAGCGTAAACCTCACCAGGGTGACACCGGCGACGGTTCTCACATTCGTGATCTACGAAAATATGTTACATTATCTGCAATCGAGACGCACTGTTGTGGAAGGAACGATCGCTGTGCCTGTACCTGCGGTTAACAAACTGAAGGAGTGAGGAGTCAAAGGTAGATTCTCTTCGGAGCCTTATCGAAGTCGAGTGAAAGTCTGAATTGGAGTGGTCCAATTTCCATTATGTTTCCGGTGACATATGCACCGAAAAATGTGATTATAAAAATAGTCGTAATAAAGTTCCATTATAAATGAAAAAAACTTGAGATACAAATTTTAAAAAATACGAAATCTCTTAATGTATTACAAAAATTGAAATTGACATGAAAAGGTTGTAAACGTTAGAAATCTTACAAGAACAGCTAGTAGTAGTAGTAGTAGTAGTAGTAGTCTCTTTAATTTTTTTCTTTGTTTGAGAAAAAGTTGCAAACATTTTTTTACTTTTACTTTAAATGTTTACATTAATTTTTAAGTTTTTTTTTATATTTATATAAATTTTTATATTATTTCGCAATTTAGAATAATATTAGTGGCTTTCTTATTTGCCTCTTCCATTAACTAAATGTATCTTTTTTCATTGGAGAAAAGTATCTTAGCGAAAAACTTTAATGTATCGTAATGTGATCCGTGTATCTTCATCAAATAGAAAAATTGAAAGCGTATATAGTTTTCAGGATGTTTTGGAGATGCTTTTAAAATGCATTGATAATGAAGAATATTTTCAAATACAATCACAATTTTTTTGTGTCTGTTATTTGACTTATATTCACAAGAGTTTCGCGAAAAAGATAGTAGTCTATGAAATTCTGTTTCCTTTAATTGTATTTATAATTAAAGGAAGAAATCCAAGATTCGCGCGCGATGATTAGCATTTTTATGAAAAATACACGAAATATTCTTGCACAAATATAATATGCATTTGTAATTTTCACGAGCTCTTTTGGAATAGTAAGTTAAAGGTGAAAAAAATAAGAGAAAAAACATTTGATGTATAATGTGTATTTTCGACAGTAGAAAAGTTTGATATATCGCGAAGAACAGATAACTTTGCATTTAAAGATCTCTAAATATAAATGTGCATATGTATGATAAATAGATATAAAAAACGAAATTAAGAAAAAGCAGTTACAAGAATAAAAATATTTCCAATTTCTGCTATTTCTGTTATTGATCTGATTGCTATGTTATTTTGCAATCTGCTCAATATGTATATCGTTATATATACGAGTATTATAAATTAGCGATCTGTTAAATTTTTATTAATATCATCGAACAGCATCTTGCGTACATATTGTTGTCTTTTTCAGCTGATAAAGCTTGCGACAAGCACATTACTTCTTCTAGCTGACAATGAGTTATTAATGAGCTTTTAACATTTGCAAATAACATTAATTTTATTACATCGCATAAATTGCTATGCAATAAAATTAAATGTCAATTACGAAGGAAATTATATTTATTAGTTGCTGCTGATATAATGACTTATTAGATCTAAAGGATTTACAGAGCACTTTTTGTAACGCTGGTCGCAATGCTGTTCATGTTCGGCTTCTATAATCTCATCCGGAAGATTTTCACTTCTCGATGTGGAAGGTCTGCAATAAAAATATGCAAACATACAAACACACACATACACACAAATGTTAGAATTCTTATATTACTCGTTTAAGGCATATCTGGTGTTTGATAATATAAATGTCTGCCGGATGGAACATTTCGATGAAAAATAAAAGTATATCGCATTAATTGATTTAGACCCAATTTTCTAGATCTCCTGTGCAGCGCATTTTTATCTATTGTATTTCATCCATTTTTATGCTATTATCATACGCTGACAAAATAATTGTTGACTTTTATTTTTTGTTTGATAGTATATTCAAGTCTTTTTTGTATTCAACACTTTTTATATTCAATACTTACGTGAGTACAATTTGCAGGATGTCACCAAGCACTCCGTTTTCACTTAAAGAATATCTCCCAGCTTCACAAATCGTCCTCAGCAAACAATCTAATCCGGAATAACCCAGACTGCAAAGCACACAAGGTACATACGTTATATTTTTCAAATTTTACTTGCAAAATATTATACCTTGGAGCAGTAATCCTGTTATCGAAAACTACGTGGCAAGATTTTTGCAGCGAGAAGTTGTGATAGCCGAGATACGAAAATATGTTCTATAGAGAATATTATTTGATACGTGCGCGGAATTCTATTACCTTTCCATTTTATTCATGAGCATCCGGTACACTAATTGACGGCTAAGACTTCGTTTTGCGTAATAATCTGCCTCGTAAAAGTAACTCGAATTCCATTCGTACGGCAATCCGTAGTTCGCTTCGAAATAAAATGCCATCGCTATAGACTTGTCGGGAATATCTATAGGAATTCCCAAGGCGAAAAGTATCTGCAACATGAAAATATGCGCTGATAAATGTAGTGGTGATATTGCCTCTCTAAATATTGTCAGTTCATATAAAATGATTAATCGGGCAATTGATTCAGTCTTCGGCGCGAGCGGAGATGTTTTTTTTTTACAGAATATCAAAAAATATTTTTATAAAATGTGAAAAAAGCATTTACAAATTCTGAGGAAATGTTGATAAAAATAAATTACAATTTATTAGATTTTTTTATCGCAATATTTTTTTATATTTTTTTCAATATGACAGAATAAGGCTGAATTTTCATGATAGGAATATTGAAAGCATTTACGCTGCGAATTTTCGCGATTCTTTTTTCTCTGACGAATCTTCGCACAAATACGTGAAGTGGAAATGATTAATATTGAGTTAACGGAACCGCTCACATAGTCCGAGACGCATTAGTAGATGAAAAATGAATGATTGATCCACCATACCCCCGTATTACTACCCTCGGGAAATCCGATAGATCGTACATGTTTCGATACACCGTGTGTAATATTTCTCACTCCCGATACATGTGTTGACTTCATGAAGTAGCACATCAAAAGAACCAACGTCATAATTTGATCTCTGAAATATTTCGGGAAAATGCAACAAGTTTCATGATACATTTTGTTCATAATTAGTTGAATCGATTATCAATTATTATTTATTTTATGTAATCTTTGGGAATTTAGACTTGTTGAATACTCTGTTTAAAATGATTTATTATACCATTTTTCTAATAATTAATAATTGTTTCTCAATGATTGATTTATTTAAACTATATATTATTTTAAGTGAAATTGTTTCAATTTAGAATTAACAATGTGCTGTTCTCTTTCAATCATATATAAATATTGTTATCCGTTATACAATTTTTTTTATTAATAACGATATTCGTAAATAGGAGTCGAGAGAGAAAACTGCGCGCAACAGCGATACTTAAATTCGTTTTGTAAAGTAAATAGCACATTGTATAAAATAAATAGCCGAATGTTTAGATACCGAAATATTTTTAGGATTTTATCGAGATAGTGCTTGCAATACTTCGGATATTGTTCATTCGGCATTCGTTCGTGGGATTCACGGAACGATCGATATCTGGGTAAAAAAAAAAAAAAAAAAAAAAATACGTGGCGCATCTGTTTGTCCATTTCTTTATTTCACGAATTGTTTTGATTTTGCCGATCGCTTCATTGGTTTTCGCGCTAAATGCAAATATTCGTTCATCCCGCGCGATTGCGATTGCAGGAGTTTGCTGCCACGCGAATGAAACAAAACAAGTTTATTTCCCTCGACAAGTCACGCATACCGTGTCAGTAAATATTTTGAGCCTCTCTTTGTCGCACGCATTAACAGGTATTTTTCACCACTTAGCGCAATCACATTTTTGCAAAGAAAAAAAATAGTGCAATATTATTTACGTAGGTAATAATATTTCGGTATCGCGAATACTCACTTCCTCATTTCTTTAACGTTACAAAAGTCGCGTCGAGACTTATGCAAAGCTTTTACCGAGTGGCGAATTAGCGGTTTGTGCACGTATACGAGAGGAAAAAAATAATCCAGTAATTCGCACGAAGCTAAAATTGCTAATGAAAGCTAATCGCTAAGGAAGCAGGAAGGTTGCTGAAATACAGTTAGTTAGAGTTTCAATTTCGTTACGAGCATTTTGCGATGCTAATATATCGGTATGCGGTATCTAATACCTTGCAAATTACACTTATAATATTGCACAATCGAAGAATCACAAAAAAAGAATGTTATTTCCAATATTCTTCGCAACATATACATTTATTAATATCAAATTACGTTTTTCTCAAACGGTTCGTTTGTTTTCAATATTTTACTTTGCCTTAATAATATTTCGAATATTCTAAATATTTTTTTTTCACTCGCGAATTCAATTATTTAAATTGCGAGAAACGAGATGGATTGTGTTTGTATAATATACAATATTTGTATACAGATTGTCGCGCATATAGTTATGCGATTCGCAAATATTTCGATTACGGAATCTAGTTGTCAAAATATCATTCCTCTTCCACATCAGAAGATCGCATTTCAGAATCATTTTAGCAAAATCAAAATACACATTATATCGAATGAATAAACAGATTTATATACGGTGTTTCAAATCTATCTCCCGTGTCTTTACCGCGGATTTTTCGGTTTATCGCGTCACTCTAGCGCAGTATTTGTTTTAAATATTTTAACATTAATTTACATCTCTCTTGAATTAAATTAATCTTGTAGTTAAATAAAAATATTTTATTATTCATTTTTAATATAAAAAAATTAATACTTACAAAAATTCGTTTTAAAATTTCATTCCACAGTATTATTCACTGAAATAATTATCTCAATATTTTCTATATTAAAATTCGTGATCGTTTCAATTCTATCTCCCGTGTCTTTACTCGCGGATTTTTCGATTAATCGCGTCAACACTATCGCAGTATTTGTTTTAGATATTTTAACATTAGCTTACATCTCTCTTGAATTAAAATGACGCGAAGATAAAATTAATCTTGTACTTGAATAAAAAAAATATTATTTATTTTTAATATAAAAAAAATGAATACTCGAAAAAATTCGTTCTTAAATCTCATTATCTCAATATTTTCTACATATATGAAAATTCGAGATCGTGAATTTGAGATCTACCCGGTGTATAGCGAGCGATATCGGTCGGCTTCAATCGTTCAGATAGCGGAATGATATTAGGGTCCGCAAAATGCATTAATCCCGGGATCAGTATGCATCTAGCACTAATTGAATTAATAATGGAAATGCAGGGTGTCTGTTTCTGCCTTGTTTGGTACATTCCTGATTCAATGGCGAACTTGTAATTATTCCGCGAGACTTTATGTATAGCGGACCTACCCCTTTCTCTCTCTCTGAACACGCCGCTGGACTTCTGCGGCTGGATGCCGCGGAACAATGGCCGGCAACCACCTTTCACTATGTCTCCTGGTCGGAATATCTACCAAGTGTTTCACACACCAAATACATTATTGATTAGCGTACCACGAATTTAGCGGTCTTCGTTGCCATCTTGCGAGCCGAATACTCGGGGTGACAGTCGGTCGTATAGGGTGGCAATCATTTTTGGGTCACGAAACACATTCACCTGCATTTTGTATGCGTTTAGGACCGGCCCGGTTTTCGAAACCTGTCAGCCTCCGGAGCTCTGCACACTTCGGTGTCTTGCGAGCTTTTTTCCCTCTTTTATCGCGCTTTTGTATATTTTTATAATTCGGTTTCCCGGAAGAGAATCAATGCTCGCTGTTTTTCGAAGATACCCGAGAAAGGTGGGTTTGAAAAACAATAGAGTCGTACGTTTCAGGAATTTATAAAACCGTGTACTTGCACCAAGTTTTCTTTCTTTATATAATATACATATTTTTTTGTACATATTACAGAATTAAACAGATATTATTTTCCAATTATTAACAGATATAAGATATTACTTCCCTTTTCACGCTTTATGTACCTTTCATACCGAAAGAAAACTCCAGGCGCCGCTCGACAAAAAGTGAATTATTAGTAATATCACTTTGTTTTTTTCCCTTTTCCGCGCGAAATAATTCGCTCCGCGCGTGCGAAACGCTCTCGGGCAATATCGTGTGCGTTCATTGAAATAAAGGATGTGAGATTTACGAAGGAATTGCGCGAGAGGAAAATTTTATGACACGCCTGCGGTACGCGAAACAACGCCAGAGATTTTCGCCGCAATTTTCTGCAGGGCTGCGGAATGCGAGATGCGCGGTTATACTCGTGTGTGCGACCGGGAACGACGAGTTGACTGCGGATACCATTGTCGTCGTGCGCGTAACAAGCGATCGCGGTGGGTAGACATTGCGAGAAATTTCAAAGCGGAATCTTATCTCGCCGAGGTGCGGTTTAGACGACACTGGATGCGGCTGCACCGCCGCTGCTGCGGTGTCGATAAGCGCAAATGCCATTTCGCGTATGTTCCCTGCGATTTTTATGAAATATATAGAAACACGAGTGTTAGCCTTATATTGAAATTTTATAGCTGAAAGAGCACCGGAATGTGTGTGAGAATATGCTACACTGCGTGTTAAGCGAAAATTCTATTCAGAAAAATATATACATATATAGCTCTAATCTGATATTCTTTCTCCGAAGAAATTGCGAAGACTCCACGAATATTGATCTTCAAGATCGATAATTAAGATCCCAGATAGACAGGCTGATAGATATGATAAGCATAAAATTATGAATCACACGTTTTAATAAATTTTAATTGTGCATTATGATGTCATATTGTTAACATATATTTTGTATATTTTATAAAATAGCAATATGTTTTACTTTACTGTAATCGCACAACTGTAATTATCATATTATATTTCTGACAAAATAAGCAGTACATTTTCGCAATTTTCACAGTATTAGAAGATCCTTTCATTTACCGATAATACTCATGTCATACGAGGACGCATCTATTAATGTTTACGCAAGCATTTTCAATTTTAAAATGTCATTATGCAGGCAATCTGCTGATATATGTATGTCTATCTGGGCTGATACATTCCAATCACGTTGAAAGATATAAAATATAATATAAAATAGAGAAGATATAAAAGGTAATACATATAGAATGATAAAAAAATAAGAAATATATAAAAGTAGACGAATGAAGTAAGGAATAAATAATGCGGGCGACATCGTGAAAGGCAGATGACACGGATGAGAGTGCAAATCCGCGGACGAAATTCCACCCTCGAATCGCGGAGGGTGAAAATGCCAAGCTCGGAGGGTTGTTCGCCCTGCGGTGTGCAGATGGCGGTTCCTGGTCGGTATCCGGGACCTTCAGCCCCGCCCATGTGATTTAAACGGCGACCTTTCCAGCGTCGCACCCCCAGACCGAATAAACGGGGTGAACGCGGGGGTGGTCGCGGAATTCTCGAGGGGGTGAATGACTGAACGGGCGCGTATCTGCGTCGCGTTACACGCGTCCGTGTCTTCGCCCTCGTTAAGCGCGACCCATTTCGACTCGGTTACATCGCACAGTTCAAGTATTCCGAGAAAAGGGCGGATGCCGCGAAACACTGTACGCGGACAACGTGTACCTCGGCGTGTTACATTATTATGGAAATTGGTGTTTTATCAGTAGAGCCGCGGGACCCAATCAATGAATTATACGAGTCATAAAGTGGAAAACGAGAGAATTGTCTCGTTTGTTTTGTTCGAAATTAAACACGATCGTGTTCGGTGGAAACGATAGTTGTGCAATCTTTACGTAGAGACCCAAGTTTTTGTTCATAATTGCTTTATAAGAAGAGCATAAGAGTAAAATGATGAAATCGTGAAAGAATTATTATGTAAGATGAATTATTAATATTGTGAATAATAGAAAAGATACACTCCGCGTTTTAAAGTAGAAAATATTTTTATTCTTGTATATAAATTTTTGTGAGAGATTATTGTTTCATAATTCAAGTAATTTTTACACTTTATAGATTTTTGATAAATGCTATTAATAATTGAAATCAGCAAATCCTTTACTCTTTCACTTAGATCGTTGTTTAAATCTGAATTATACGTCTCTTCTTTGCAAGCCAATTAAATACAGCATGTTAAACTTTACTTGTACGTCATCTGGTTTTTTGGTGATATTATAAATCCATCATTACATTGATATAATATTTTTTTCTTTACACGATTATTGTACTGTATTTCCCATGATATGTATCTTACATTTAGGGGTTGTTATGTCAGAGCATGCTAAGTTTATTCATACTTTAATGAAAGATTTGCCCGATTTACTCCTTTCGAAGGCAGACGAGAGAGAGAGTACACGATGTTCGGGACGCCGAGTATGTACAGAGTACCAGAATCCCGAAGTACCCTGGAGCACGACGCGATGCGACGTAACCGACGAAAAGTTCAACAGACAGATTTGCATCAGAATTACATCGCATAAAGTCGCGGTCCTCATTCCCCACTCAGAGCGGGCTACGGCCGCAATGGGCGCAACCGCATTAAATACTGTCCGGGATCTCTCGCTTTCCATGTTCTTGCCCGACCTCTGTCTAACCCCCGGGCCTCGAATCGCCCCGGGCGAGACGTCAGAGACGAGTTCATCTTCCACTTTGACCCAAGTTCGGCGCTCGCTTTGAGCGGGAACGATTATGAGCTTACTTGCGGCAGCCGAGACTGGCGACTTACGACTTGACGAGAATTAATGTGGCCGTGAAGGGGGGTAGTTGTTGCCAAACGGATGAAGGAAGTTACATAAGTGATAATTGCGATTCAATTGTCATCTTTTATATGTAACATATTATGAATATTGCATTGTTTATGGTTTATATTCAACATTTTTGTTTATCTCGAGTATTGCTTCAAATCCACTTCTTGGTACGGATTTCTTTTCTTTCTGCAGGTTCCATCTATGCTATATTATGTATAATCCATTTAAACCATGCATTTAAAAAGACATGGATTAATGATGATGATTTTACTTTTTTCTGAAATTGTATATAAAAATAGTATGTAATTTAATTTCAAGATACAGATGGACCACTCTTTCGTAAAAAAATCCTAGAAGATAGAGAGTAATATCGCTATGAAAAATTTAGATGCACAAATATTCTAATTATAAGAGAGAGAGAGAGAGAGAGATATGTGTGTATGGGAAAAGAAAACAAAAATGGTATATGTACATAGACTTTTGATATCAGTTTTACCTTCGACAAATTGGCCCACTGTTCGCGACTGTCGTTTT